TTGGCGCGGCGCGGCGTCGCGGCGTGCCCGATGTGCCCCGTCTCGCACACCGGGCTATTTATACCGCCAAATCGAATCCGCGCTGGTCGATAGGCGGGCTAGGCTGGCCGGGGGCTGCGTGCATACCAAGTGTGCTGCCGTGCCGCCCCTCTCCCTTCTGCCCTCTCCCTGCACAGTGGCGTAGCAGCGTAGCACAGTGCGCCAGAAGACCGGTGGAGGCGGAAAAAAATTCTAGACGCGTTTTGGGCTCCAGTCGCTAAATGGGACTCTAACCGAACGTGTGATCCCACCAATGGATTCCTCGTTCGAAGAGTAATCCATTGGTGGGTCACACGTTCGGTTCGAACCCCATTTAGCGACTCTGGAGCTCAAAACGCGTCCGGCATTTTGACCGCCATGTCGTGGGGCGTAAGTAACACACTGGGGCATAACTGTCTTCTCCCTCCCTTTCTGGCAGTGTAATGTGCTCCTCCACCTGCCGGCCTCGATTACTCGATGAGGTCACCCTGGCGGCCTGGCGGTCTGGCTCCAGCGAATCCAGCGACTGGAATTTGGACCAGGACGCCGGGACTGCCCGCCGGAAGACGCGCGACAGCAACACCTGCCCGGAGTCACGTCTGCGCACTGATTCCGGCTGTCGCTCTGTCTCTCTCGCACTCGTGGGGCGTCCCGTTCGGGTGCGAGAGAGACAGAGTCCGCTGGCCGCGTCGTGACGTCGGCGTCGACGGCCGCGCACCGCGCGCGCACTTTCTCAGCGGGACAAACAGCAACCCTTCCGGGCGGGAGTGGCGGGCCCGTTGCCTATCGCACTCATGGGACGCCGCGCTTGGGTGCGAGAGAGACAGAGCGACGAGGGCAGCGGCCAGCCTCCGGAAAGTCTCTTGCGCCCCAGCACCGCCGCGTCAGGCCGGCAGACAGGTGGCTTACACGGTGGAGGCGGAGGCCTGGCGGAGGCAAGGCGTACGGTAGCGATATGGGATTACCCAGGTCAAAGGCACCTGCGGGCGGGCCCGGCGGACGTTCGGCCTGCTCCGCGACGGGGCTGCACTGGACTCGCGCCGCACGCGTTTGAATCAGTGCACTGGTTGAACTCTAGGCGTCGCTTCTCGTTTTTCCCCGAGCGTATAGTGGTTACGTCGCATGGCTGAGTGAGCGAGTCTCACGACACGTGGTCAGGCATAACAGTACCGCGCCCAAACACTCCTTTCCTCGCTCTGTCTCTCTCGCACTCGTGGGGCGCCTCGAGAGCGACCGCCGGCCGTTGTATGCTCGGCTGTTACGCCCCGGCCCGCACCATGGGGAAGTCCTCGCCATTTCAAAACGGCGCCCTCGCCTGGCCCATGGCCTGGCCGCCGAGGCCGTGCTCTTGCTGCTCTGGCCGGCCGCCTTATGTGACGCCTTTCTCCATCGGCCTCCTCCTCCCTCTCCGCCTCCTCCGCCTCCACCGCCGCCTCGTCCCGTAAACTCGGGGAACTCCGCGGCGGGCTGCACTGCCGCGGAGCCGCGGCTGTCTCTGTCGCACACGAGGGGCGCCGGGGCGCGAGAGAGACAGCAACGCGGCGCGGCGGCACGGCCAGACAGACGCGTGGAAGTCCTGTATTCCCCCGCCCGGCTCCGCTCGCTCCCCGTTCCCGTCCTCGCCGACGTGCTTCCCCGCTCCGAAACGGAACGGGTATGGCGCCACGTCTGGAGCGGACTCCGCTCCCCTTCCCGCCCGTGCCTACCCGTGCCTGGAGACGTTCCCTCGGGCTACCCAGGGCCCTGCCCTGCCCTGCCCTGCCCTGCCCTGCCCTGCCCTGCCCTGCCCTGCCCTGCCCTGCCCTGCCCTGCCGCCCTGCCCGCCTGCCCTGCCCTGCCCTGCCCTGCCCTGCCCTGCCCTGCCCTGCCCTGCCCTGCCCTGCCCTGCCCTGCCCTGCCCTGCCCTGCCCTGCCCTGCCCTGCCCTGCCCGGGCCAGCAGACTGATTTCGCCGCTGTCTCCCTCCCACCGGCACCGTGAGCGCGAGAGAGATAGACCGACGGCGCGCCGACATCGCAGTGATTGCTGGACTGCCGTCGTAGACGTCGTCGAGTACTCCATCTTCGTCGACGTGGCCCCCGCAGCCAGGAGGCTGATTCGGGGCACTGCCCGTCCGTCACTCAGCCTCACTGCCTCCCACACGGGATGCCCGAGTGCGACAGAGGCTCGGATATTCAGTCTGCTGGCCAGCTTCGTGATGATCCTCCTCACCAACAAGCTCTAGGTCGTCGTCGTCGCCGTCCTCGTGGCGCTCGCCACCGCGTTCGACCTCGCGGCCCGCCGTCGGTTCGCATGCGGTTTTCCCACACTTGGCCTCGTGGCAACGAGTACGACGGGTACGACGAGAACCTCGACGAGAACGGCCGCAATGCCTGCCGTCCCGCCACTTGGACTTGGCGTGATGCGATGTCTGGCGACGTCATTCAAATTTGGGCAGTTTGGCAGACGACCACTGTGCCGCGGATGGACAGAGGAGCGGCCAAAGCTCTAGACGCGTTTTGAGCTCCGGAGTCGCTAAATGGGACTCGAATCGAACGTTTGACCCCACCAATGGATTGCTCTCCGAACGAGGAGTCCGCTGGGGTCACACGTTCGGTTCGAGTACTAGCGACTCTAGAGCTAAAACGCTTCTAGAGTTTTGGCCGCCTCCACCGGTCTGGCCCACTGTGAGCCGGACCGATGGAACACTGCGCCGATGTACGATATGGTGCGAACGGTGTCCGAGACATGCGTCCATGTGGCCGATGCCAGCGCCTTCTCCAGAACGCTATCGACTTTTTTAACGTTTCCGAGAAGTACCCGAACGCAGCGCGGCGAGCCTTTGCGAAAGGAACTTCCCCCGCGGGAAGTACGTGACGTACCCCTTATCGTGGTGACACTGGTGTGCGCACTCGTGCCAGGGAATACCAGTGTGGGGCCCGGCAGGCCCGCCGCGCCAATGGACGTGGATGTCACGTGATTGGTCCCAGAGGTCGAGAAAGAGAGGCCGTGACACTCTTAGGACGAGGTTCGTGACCTAGACAAGGCCCGAGACAAGGCCCTGGAAGAGGCCGTAGACTGCCTGTCCTAGACGAGGCCATGGACTGACAGCCCTGCCCTAGGCGAGGCCCTAGACTGCCTGTCCTAGACGAGGCCATGGACTGACAGCCCTGCCCTAGGCGAGGCCCTAGACTGCCTGCCCTTCTCCGAGCACGCCGTGGGCGAGGCCCGAAAGGCCGGGCCGCAGGCAACGAGGGAACACCCCAGATATGTCGCAGGAGGAAACACCCGCCGCGACCCGCCACCAGGGCTTTCCGTCACAACGGCGTTACACACTCTTCAAAAGCCCCACCTCGCGCACAGCCAATGCGGCCAAAAGCAAATACCCTCCTGCGACGGCGGGCTTGTCAAACTTTACTGTTGATGTCATACCGGCAACAGGGACATCGCGGGGAAAAATTCCGAAAGAGAGCCGCTCTGTCCCCCTCCTACTCATGGGGCGCCCCGAGAGCGCGACAGAGAAAGAGCGACCAAGAATCAAACTTGAGGAAAAACGGCGCCGTCAGCGTCGTCCGCGTACTCCCCCGGCGGCGGGCCGAGTGGAGGCAACTCGGGGCCGCCCCGCCCCGCCCAGCACCGCGGGGACCCACCGACCGGGGTGTTGGGCGGGTCAGGCCCAAGATGGATCATTCGGGCCCCCCGCCGCCGCAGCCCACTACAGTCGTAACGCCGATCTGTCTCTGTCACACTCGCGTGGCGTCCCGTGGGGGTGCGAGAGAGACGGCGAGGGGCGCTGCGCTGCCGGGCCGGCCGTACCGGGAAGCAGGCGTGAGCCACGCCTCGTCCAACCGCCGAGGGAATTCCTGCCCTTCCTGCCCCTCTCGGCCGGGACCCCGTCACGTGGACTCCGTCATGAGCTCCGTCATCCCGAAGGAATCGTCGGGCGAAGGCTGCAGCAGCGAGGGACGTTGGCTCGAATTCTTGCCCCCGTCGGCCAGGGCGCACCAGGGCGCTGAGGGGGGCGGTGACCGAGCACAAGTGGATCGAGGATGTGGCGCGCTGGCCCGAAGAGGCAGGCAGCCTCCTCATGGGGACAACCCGAACCACCACCGCGTCCACGGTGATGAAACGCGGTAACTCCGCGTTTGGTCAGTGCGATGCTGATTCCGAGTGGGAGGACTCCCTCGCACTCGCTGGGCGTCCCGTGGGGGCGCGAGGGAGACAGCGACGAGATGTTGGACGGAATCAGTCTGACCTGCAGTGGCCCAAAAGTCCCGCACTCCTGCGGTGTCGCCTTGTTGGACTTCCCTCCACCTCCCGTCCCAGCTTTGAACGTCAGCCTTGGTCAAATTTGCACGAGCGGCCGAGTAGTGTTCAAACAGGCTGCGCGGCGCTGCGCGGGGACGGGCAGGACAGGCGCCACCGACGTCCCGACGCGTCCCGACGTCCTGCAGACGGACTCTCCGAGAGTCGCTTCCGTCTCTGTGCCTCCTGTGCGGGATGCGGGGATGCCGCGAGTGCGGGAGAGACAGAGCGGCGAAAATGGCTCTCGGAATCAGTCTGCTGGCTGACACATCGCGATCATGTGCTCTCGGGGCACCCCTTCGCCCCGCCCCCAGTTTGTACTTGCTTGTACCGGGGCGGTGCGTCCGAAAGGGCTCTAGTTGGCGTGCCGCGGTGGCCGCGGCCGCGGTCGCGTGTTGAGGTGCTGGGCTGCTTCCGAACAGCCCGCCGGGCCGCTAGTGTATTTTCGTGGCGGCCGAAAATTTTTGGCTCGCGGTGCACGCTATTTTGCGCCGCCACTGCGAGCCAAAGCCAAAGCCGAATCGAAAGCGGCGTCGCGACGCGCCGCAGACGACGACGACGACGACGAGCGAGAGCCAGCGAGCCAACACCGCGAGGAATCCTGGTTTTCCCGCCGTCCCGCCTTCCGAGCGAGCTTCGCGGGCCGGCCGCGTGCCGCGGGGCGCTAGTGTCGCGTCGCGCGTGGCCGTACTACGCTACTCCAAGCAGGCAGTGACTAAACTTTCAGTGCGGAGCGAGCGCTCGAGTCGTGAGGTTGTGCAGTGTGTCGCGTTCTGTTTCGTCTGCTCTCGGAGAGTGACGCTCAGTGTGAGGTGGTGTTTTGGATTGGAAAGGCTCCGCCAGTGTGGAAGACTTCCCCGTGCTGCAGTCCCGCTGCCGCCCCTGTTCAGTGAAGTGCTTCCCCGCCCCCCTGCGCGTCTCCGGAAAATGTCTGTCAGCGCAGTGGAAGTGGAACCCTGCCTGGCATTGTGCAGTGCTTCCCACAGCCCAGTGCACCAGATTCGCTGGTGATAACCACCTGGATTCGAGTGCATTGCCACTGGTTCCCCCTTCGGCCGCCTGCGCCTGCGCCTGCACCAGCACCTGTCGCCGTGCGTGTAGCTGCCACCCAGCCACACGTAACCTCTGCAGCTGTGCCCAGCTGCGGACAGCTGCTCCAGCCCAGTTGCTTAACCTCAAGATGGCCCATCCCCTGCAGTCGGGGGCCGCGCCCGAGGCCTGGCCGTGCGAAGAGGGCACCAAGATCCGGGACTACTCGGACAAGTGCCACTCCGTGTACGACTCTGGCTGCATCTCTGGGGCCAACCTTAGTTCAGACTTGTCCCTCTCGGAGGACTTAAGTTCGAGGTCGTCAAGGCCTTGTAGTTTTACAGACATTCCTGCCGAGTCAGTAGTTAGTGATTCCAAAAGTTATAACCGAGAAGATAGTGGTTTGGATCTAGCGGAACCGTTTAGTAGCTTATGTCTAGAATCCAATGATCTCGGCAAGCAGTCATCACAGTGTCAAACTACAAACCTTCCCAAGTGCAATGTGCCAACTGTAGAAAGTACGACTGTGTTGCCTCAGGATAACTCATTATCATTACAAGCTTTGGAATTTTATCAACAAAATGAAGAAGGAGACACGTAAGTTGACCTCAAAGTATTTAGTTTTCTGTAATTAGATAAAAATTAGTTCGTTAAGCATTATGACACCCATGCGGCATCTTTGTTAAAATTTTGGTTGTTCGTATTTTATTGTTGGAGTCTTTTTGTACTTGAATATTGTTTGCGTAGCCACTGTGGAAGATCTAAATTATAACGAAGTACTGGCTAGTAATTTTGCATTGATTGATCGTAATTTTGTTTTCATCAAATCGGGAGTATAAATTTTTTTGAGCGAGCATACTCATCCGGTAATCAAGTTTCTCCAGCGGAAAATTACTGATTTTGCTTAGTTTTTGTTAGTCATTTATTTTTCTATCTACATTATTTTAATTATATTATTCACTGACCAACTACTATAGCCTAAGATCGTTCAAGGTTTTCTTTCTCTTCTTTAAGGGAAGGTTCTACTTCAAATGTTGCATTTTTTAAATTGAGCCTCGGTGTAAAAATTTGTGGACGATGTGTGGTAATCCTCAGTTAACTTTTTGAAGTTAAAACTACGTTAGGCGTCAAATTCCTCTTTGATTGGACGTAGAACCATTTGTTTCTCTCCAAACTTCATGTTTCATAATTCATTATGTGGTACTTGATAAATTGCAGTGAATTCTGATAGTTAGACTCAATCAAAAGAAAGTAAGATTTCAGGTAGGACATCGAAGGGGAAGGTCATGCAATCATATGACACAGGCGACAGCAGCAAACCTCTTCGGAACGTAACACTCCATGCGGCTGCTGGCTGCAGTAGCTTCAAGGGTGTGAACTCAAAATGATTAGATAATGGTGGGAAAGCCCCAACCATGAACCACATCGCCGGCTCCATTTTTCCCTCTTCATCGGGTTTTTTTTTTTTTTTTCTTATTTCGCGGGAGGCGCGGAACGATGGAACAAGGCGGTCTGGATTCGGAGTTTGCTTATCCTCCGCCTTTTCGGAAACTGCCGTCGCCGGTCGTTTCCGTTTAATTTATTTTGCACGGCCGTTCTGACAAGGATGGCATCACCGTGTCGGCGAGGGTTTTCCAGCATGACGCCGACGCCGACTCACGCGCCTCGGCTATGCCAAGGCGATGCGGTGTGATGCGGCCACACTGCCCACGCCTGTGCCTACACTGCCTACAGCTTGCTATAGCTTCCTACAGCCGCGCCCTGTCCTGTTGCAGGAAGCTTCACATCGCCGTGGTGCAGGGCTTCATCGAGGCCGTGTACGCCCTGGTGCGGATGGCGCCACAGCCCCACCTGCTCAACATCCAGAACTGCGACGGACAGGTGAGAGAGACGAAGGAGGGACGCCGCCGCGGCCAGGAGTCGAACCGCTGACCTTGGCTTCCGGGTCGGGTGTCGCTACCGCCGCGGCCACCGAGCCGCGGTGTGAATCGCGTAGGTAAACACGGCCACGTTGCGTGCACCCGCCACGTGGTGGCACGCGTGGCCCTGCTGGCTCGCGGCCAAGACGCCGCCTCGACGCCGACGCGACGCCGACGCCCTGTCTGGCCGGCGCCGTGACCCCCTCCCAGCCCCCTCCCCCTCCGGCGGCCACTCTAAAAAGCCGCGCGACTTGCGATTTTGGACCGAAAGCGACCAGCCTGTTTTCGGCCCGCGGGAAATACGGCGTGGTTCCCGCTGCCGGCGGCGGGGCTGGGGCTGGCCAAAGGCTAGGCCTGCCCCGTGCCCCGTGGCGCGCTACGCCAGCTACGCCAAGTGCGGGGAATTTTGGCCGCGCCGTGCCGCGAGCACTGTGCCAGCGTGCCAGCCTCCGGTTCCCGTCCCGGCCGGCCGCGGGCTTTCCACTGGTTTGCCGTCGCCTGACTCGCCTGACGCGCGCGGCTGCAAAAAAAAGTGGAATGGAAAACAAAAGCAGGTGTTTTTTTCTTTGCGCCGATTGGGGGTGGCTGCGCTGCGGGCGCTTCTGAAGTGTAGAGTCCGCGCCACTGCAGCGTGGCGCTGCGGGCTTTGCGATAGCCGCGCTGGGGTTCCCGCGTCCAGGACGGCGAGGACGGCGCCCTGGGGTCGGGGACCCTAGAGGGGACCCCGGCCACCTCTCGCTGCGGACTGACTCCTCGGTGGTGCGCTACACGCGAAGCTGGCCCCGCGGGGGTGAGAAAACGCGCGCCGCGGGGAGTCGAACCCACTTCCTGTGACGACACCGGCCCCTCCGGTCCGGTCCAGTCACCCGGGAAGACACAGGCGTTCCGCGATATGCTCCTCCCGGCCAGACTTTCTGGAAGCCGCGACGCGAAGCGCGAAGCCGGTGTGGCGTTCTTGTCGGTGTTCATACATTTGCGAGTCGGCCGGCCAATGCTCTGGCGGAGGGCGGCCGGGCGACGCTAGGCGCGGCCTTCGTGGCCACGCGGCGCGTCGCGGCGCAGTGTACAGACACCTGCTGCCTACAGTGGTGGGGGCATCCGACGGGAGGGATCAGATGCTCCAATCGGTTTCGATGCAGTCATCGCGGTGCGGCCCCGAATGGAAAGAGAGGGGGAGGGGCGTACTGCTGCTTCTCGCGGTGCTTGACGGGCTTGCCGGCGAAGGGCCTGCGTGCCTTCTCCGCTTCGCCAGGCAGGGACGGGCTGCGCTGTGCACAGTGGGCCAGAAGACCGGTGGAGGCGGCCAAAACTCTAAACACGTTTTAACAGGCCTCGAACCGAATGTGTGACCCCACCAATGGATTCCTCGTTCGGAGAGCAATCCATTGGTGGGGTCACACGTTCGGTTCGAGTCCCATTTAGCGACTCTGGAGCTCAAAACGCGTGTAGAGTTTTGGCCGCCTCCAGCCCACTGTGCACCCGGGGGAAGTCCGCGCTCGCCGGATGTCGTGCGTTTGCATTGGGGCGATAGCGCGCGCGTTTTTGCGCCAATATTTCTATTTTTCTCGGTGGATCTCTCTCTCTCTCTTCGTCCCCTGCCAGGGAAACCCCGGCCTTGTGTGGCGATACGGCTCGGGGCGGCCGCAGAGGAGTGCGTCGTCCTCGCCGAGGCCGTGCTCGCTGTGCTCGTGCTCGCCCGGAGCGGGAAAGTGGGCACGGCCCGCGGGGAGTCGAACCCGCGGCCCGCGGCCCGGGGAATGCCCACGCGACGCGGCCGGCCCGCGCGCCGCGCCTGCTTTAGAATAACGAGTGCCTGTGGGAACAATGGCGCGGACGACGCCGCCGTCAGGGAGAAAAAAACCAACAGAAACGACAAAAATACGCGCCGAGACGCGGGAAAAAAGGGGAAACGCCACTTTGAGAACGTACGCGAGCGGTTGCAGTGTAGGACGCGTTTGGCGCTCTCGCGGGGGGTGCTGCGCAGTGCAGCGCCCAGCGTGATGAGTGTCCTGCAAGCTGCCGTGTGTGTGTGAGTGAGTGTGTCTGTGTGGGCCAGGCGGTGCGTGCGTGTGTGGGTGTCGCGGCGGTGTCGCGGCGGTGGGGCGTCGGTCGGGCCTTTCCCGGTCGGCCCGGACAGCTACGCTCCGCCACCTGTTACGTTTGTCCTTGCTCCGCGCCGCCGCGCTCCGCCTCGCCTCGCCCTGCCCTGCCCTGCCCTGCCCTGCCTCGTCCTCCGCGACACGCTCGCTGGGTTTTCCGCCAATCCACACTCGTCTCTTTATTTTTTGGCAGTCCATGGCGTGCTGACGGGCGATCGCTAACGGCCCCTCTTCTCCTCGTTGCAGACCGCGCTCCACCTGGCCGTGCTGACCGCACAGCCCGACTTCGCCAAGCGGCTGGTGCGCGCGGGCGCGTCGCTGGCGCCCCGGGACGCGTTCGGCAACACGGCGCTGCACCTGGCCGCCGAGACCGGCGACGTGGAGTGCGTGCGCGCCATGCTGGAGGCCGTCGCCGACACCGGCAGGCTGCCCGTCGAACTGGAGCAGCGCAACTACGACGGTAAGCTGCCTCTCTTTCTGTGTTTCTAGCAGTGTAGGCGCGGGGTCAGGGCCCTACCGCCGCCGTCGCCGCGGTCCACAGTGGGCCAGAAGACCGGTGGACGCGTTTTGAGCTGCGTCTCTACACAGGACTCGAACCGAACGTGTGACCCCACCAATAGATTCCTCGTTCGGAGAGCAATCCGTTGGCGGGGTCACTCGTTCGGTTCGAGTCCCACTTAGCGACTCTGAAGCTCAAAACGCGTCCAGAGTTTAGGCCGCCTCCACCGGTCTTCTGGCCCACTGTGCGCCGCCGCCACAGTCCTCCCCCTCTCTGCGCGCGACCCGAGAAAGGCGCGCCGTTTAGTGAGTGACCCCGGGGCCCGGCTGCGAAATGGTGCCTCGTGGGAGTCCGATAGCGACAGAGCTGCTGCCGCTGCTGCTGCCGCTTCGGGGCGATACGTGTAGTCGTCGACGGGGTCGCACTGGATGGCTGTGGGCCCGGGGGCTCTGGCGGCTGGGGTCGGGAAAAAACGTCTGTGCGCCTGGTGCGCCACTCCGTGCCTCGCTGCCTCGCCGCCTCGCGAAGATGAGCGGGACTTTCCAACACTGCCGCCGCCTCGGCCGCCCGGCGAGTCCAAGGCGAATTCCATACTATGCCAGTCCGCCACCGCCAGGCTACGCCAGGCCGGCGTGGCCGCGCCAGTGCCAGTGCCGTGCCGCCATGCCGGCTCGCCAGTGCTTGCCAGCCTCGGACTGAGGCTGGCTCGGAAGAGCGAGACGGCGCCTCGATTCTGCCAGACTAAACGACTCTGTCTCTGTCGCACTCGTAGGGTGCCCGGTAGGGGTGCGAGAGAGACAGGCGACGGGACTCTGCTCCGGGCCCCGGGTAGCTCACGTCGCCGGGTTCGATCCCGCCTCTTTTTATGAACCCCCCAACGTAAGAAAGCCGTGCTTCTCACAGTCTTCTCTCTCTCACACACACACGCGCGCACGCGTTCTCCCTCGCACAGTGCACACGACGAACGCGTGCACGCGAGGCGGGCATCCTTGTCGCCGCGGATGGCGCCATGGCGCTATGGCTCTGGCGTGCGGTCGGCCTGGCGGTGTCTGGCGGGCTCCAGGGAATTCCCTGCCCCCCCCCCTCCGCCGGGCTCCGCGTTACAGGCGATTTCGGGGCTCCGCTTTTGGCCGGGTAATTGGCCTGGGGACCGGCAGGGGGGTCATCGCGACCATCGCGGCGCCCTGGCACGGCGTGGCGTGCCGGTGACGCAGTTGCTCCAATATCGGTCGGGCTGGGCGGATGCGACGTGCACTATCTGCTAATCCTCTGGACGCACAACGCGTGCAATGGAGCTTTGCCGGCCGTGCGGCGCGGTGCCACGCACAGTGGGCTAGAAGACCAGGCGCAGGCGGCCAAAACTTTAGGCGCGTTTTGAGCTCCAGAGTAGCTAAATGGGGAATCGAACCGAACGTGTGACCTCACCAATGGATTGCTCTCTGAACGAGGAAACCATTGGTGGACCACACGTTCAGTTCGAGGCCTGTTTAGCGACTCTGCAGCTCAAAACGCGTCTGGAGTTTTGGCCGCCCTCCACCGGTCTTCTGGCCCACTGTGCAGCTGTGCGAGGGAGACAGGCACGGCACCAGCCTGGCGCGACTCCTCCCCAGCTCCGAGACCGTTACTCGCTTCCCGGAACGAGACTGGCTGGAAGTGCACTGCACGTGCTGGACGGCGATAGCCATCTTGGACAGCCCGTCCGTCCTAAGCTGGCCCTTTGAGCGGCCCCGCCGCCAAGCGTGGCCAAGCCCGCGCCAAAGCCCTTCCAAATCCGCCCCGCTTTTGTGGGACGGGCTGTGGCGCACCGGGCACCCCATTGAGGGCCGACGGCGGCCGACGGCCCGCGCGTGTCTCGTCAGCGCTAATCTTCGATCTGAGACGTGTCAGGAAGCGCGAAGCGCGCGGGCGGCGTTATTTGGGGCAACTGCTTGAAAGCGCAAAGCGCGCTTGAAGCTGAAAGCCGAAAGCGCGCATTCCCGTGGGCTTTCCCCGTAGCGGAGTGAGACAGTCACGATCGCCAGCCGGACCGGGCCACAGTGGGCCAGAAGACCGGTGGAGGCGGCCGAGGCTCCAGACGCGTTTTGAGCTCCAGAGTCGCTAAACCGACCTTGAACCGAACGTGTGACCCCACCAATGGATTTTTTGTTCGGAGAGCAATCTATTGGTGGAGGGTCACACGTTCGGTTCGAGTGGCATTTAGCGACGCTGGAGCTCAAAACGCGTCTAGAGTTTTGGCCGCCTCCGCCGGTCGTCTGGCCCACTGTGCGGGGCTGGGCGGCTAGCAAGGCTGGTTCCAAACAGCACTCCGCCTCTCCGGCACCCTACGGCACCCCTACGGCGCGCCCCCTGGGTGCGAGCGAGAGCCAGCACTGCTTTGTTCGGAACGAACCTGCGGGGCAAGTCAGGGCGAGGGCCGCCAGGGCCCCCTCCCGGTCACGTGGTTCACGGACGAGGGACTCTTGGCTCGCGGGGCACGCCGTCGTGCTATGCGCGCTGCGCAGGTGTGCCCCTTCCCCCGCCGCCCCCTCCCCTTCCCCCGGCGCCGTGCCCGCTATTTCTGTTAGTGTCCTGAAATGGAGCGACTGCTTGGCGGCGCCCCGCCCCCTGCCCCCGCCGCCCCCCGCCATCGATTTAGCCACCCCCTCCCGGGTGGGGATTCCCGCCGGATTATTATTAACCCTCGCTGCCGGGGAGGGGGTTGGCGGCGGGGCCAGGCGGGGCGTGGCGGTGTGCCGTCGGCGGCCGTCCTTGCCCCCGCCTCCCCGGCCTCCCCCCGCCGCGGTCGTCTTGGTCGTGCCCCCTGTCCTCCGCTGCTCCGCCCGTGCGACGACAAGTCCCGTCATCTTTCTCCGCTAAAGAGACGGGCCTGGTCGGCGCGGTCGCGGCGGTCGGCGCGCACCTGGCCGTCGTGGCGCGGCGTGCCGCCGTCTGAGTCATTGATCGCGTCGGCGGCGCGTTGGTGACTGCTGACGCCGCCGTCGCCACCTTTGGCCCGGATCTGCGCGGCCGACGGTGACGCCGTGGTCGCTTCGCGGCGTGAGGCGTCAGTGAATCACTTTGTGAATCACAACAAAAGGACTCTTGTCCAGCGCGCCCCGCGCTCGGCGACTTGGCCGCGGCCGGCGCCGTCCGCGGCTTGGAGCTGACATTTGGGGCGACCTCTGTCGGGCAACCTGCCCCCCTGGCGGGCATGCGGCGGCCCTTGCCGTTGCGGAGGCAGGGTGTACAACGGGCCGACCCGACCAATGAGCGCGCGCCGCGGCCAGCCGTGACGTCACGAAACATCGACGCGTTGGAGAGCGAGCGGGCTGTGGCTATATCGGGGGGTGGCGAGCTGGGCCCCGCTGGGCCGTGGCGCGGCGGGGCGGGGCGGGGCGGCCAGGGTGGGATGGGTGTTCCCACCTGTTGGAGTGACCTACTTGCATTCTTGCATGACTTCTGCTTCGGGCACGGGGGTCACCGCGGCAAGAGCCCCCTCACTATAGTATTTGGCCCCGGTGGCGAAATAAGCCCCTTTCGCAGCCCTCGTCCGTGTCTGTCTGTCCGTCTCTCTTCCGGCGGACGTCAGCGCGAGGTACTCGAACCCGCGGCGCGGCACGGCGCGGCTGCTCGCGGCGTCGTCGTGTCTAACGGGCCTGCGGCGTGGCGGCGTGGTGGCGGCGTCGCGGCGCCCACGTCAAGCAGGCCGTTTATCAAACGACGCGCGTTCGGGCCGCGCAGAGCAAGCCGAGCACGACGATGGCGGTTGTTTTTCTTTCTTTGATTTGTGTTTTATTAAGCTGATTGGGAGAATTCCACCGGTGTGGCGGGTTTGGTTGGTGCCTGTCTGCCTGTCGGCGAGTGAGCGCGGCCCGGGCCCACGGGCCTCGCGCCGACGGGCCCCGCGCCCCGCCGCGGCTTGCCTATGATCGTTATGCAACGTGCTTGGTGGGGCGCCGTCGCGCAGCCTAGCCCCTTGGCAGTGCGGGCACAGCCCTTGGCCAGCCTCGGGTCCACCCTTGGCCTCGGCCTGGCCTGGGTCCGCGGCCACGCCCCGCCAAGCCCGGAGCCAGGGCAAGCCGCGGCCGGCCAGGACAACGTCCAGGGCTTTGGGGTCTTTGGCAGGCTTAGGGTCTCTTTGTGCGGCGCGGGGGAAACCCCCGCACTCCCCCGCACCTGCCAATCGGCGGCGGCCTCGTCCGCGGCACCGAGGCGCACCGAGGCCCGGCACCTAACCGTCAAGGCCGACGACGTGGTCGTCGAGGCCGTGCCGGCGGCGAGGCACGGCCAAGCGGCCACGGGTGCGGTCGCGATTGAGGAAGGCGGCGACCCGCCAAGAACGGCCTTCTTGTTCTCGTCTGGCGGCTGGTGGTGTGGCCCCTGGCCCCTTTCGGCCCGGGGTCTGCCCAGCCAGCAGCGGCCGGCCCGTGGCCCAGCCAGCGGCCCAGCCCCGGCGCGGGCTTGGTTGTCCATGGTTGGGAATCCCCACCGCGTCAGCACCGCGCCCGGCCGGCCGGAGATGATGATGGTGTCTGTGATGAAGCGGGCGCGCAGCGCGCAGCGGAAAGCTGCCCCCCAAGGCGTCCTGGTATCTGATGCAGATTCTTTTTTGCCTTTGTTTTCAACTGCGCGTGGCGCGGCGGAGCGCGGTTGCGTCTACAGTGTGTGGCCGCTCCGCGCACCGCTGTGGGCGACCCGCGCCCGTCCGCCCGTCTGTGTCCACATAACTAGTACACAATGCGGCGGAGCGAGAGAGAGAGAGAGCGCAAGCGAGCGAGCAACGGGTTGGCGTTGGCGCGGGTTTTCCCTCGCCGCGTCACGCCCGCCGCGGATCGGCTCGGCGTTGCGGCGTTGCGGGGCGGGGCGGGGCGATCTCCTGGACAGACTCTGCGGGGCTCCTCGCGGTGCTGGCGTTGCGCCGTGCCGATGTGACGATGTGACCCCACCCAGGGCCGCGCGACACGCGCGAGGGGGGAGGGGGCCGCGGGGGCCAGGCGTTGGCCGTGTGCCGTGTGCCCCGTGTCAGGATCAAGGTGGAAGGAGGAGACAGAGGCAGGGTACATTTCCGGGTACGCTTGTTGTGGGCGTTTGGTTGTCGTTTTCGCAGTGTATGGACCCTTTTTCCTTTCTAACGGGCCTTTTGCTTCGTCTGTTGCAGGCATGATGTGCGTGCACGTGGCGGCGGCGCGCGGCCACAAGGACGTGCTGCGGTACCTCATCAACGCGGGCGCCAACCTCAACGCCAGGGTGAGTACACTGTGCTTTTACAGTGCTGTGCCCGCGTGCGCAGCGTCATTGGCGTGGCGCGGCGGGGCGGGCGGCAGTGAAAGTGGAGCAGAGCCCGGGCCGGAAGTGAAGGGGCGCCAAATCGGAACGCTCCAGCGTCGCTCTGTCTCTCTCGCATAGTGGGGCGTGCCGGCGTGCCGCATCGGAATCATGAAACTGCAGGGCAGGGCCCCGGGCCCCCGGGGGCTCGCTGGGTGGCTGGCTCGGGGCTCGGCCGCTTGGGCTTCGGCTGTGTGCACTGCGAGTGCCGAGTGCCGTGCGAGTGCTTGGAGCGGCCTGGGAAATCCCTCGGGCCGCCGCTCCGCCGTGGAGACTCCACTGCGGACTGCGGGGGCTTGACGAGACGAGAGACGAGCCGAGTCGCGGCCGCCGAGCCCAGCCGGGCCGTGCGTGGTGCTGCTGGGTGTTGTCCGGCTGGAGCTGGGCGGGGCGAGCCGCGCCGGGGCTTCGGCCAGCCGAGGGCGCTAGGGCTGTCGACATCCCGAGTCGTCTGGAGTTTGAAAAAAACGTAACCAAGTGGTTGTTCTGTTTGCCCCCAGGACGCCAAGAGCGGACGCACCGTGCTGCACCTGGCCGTGGAGCTCGCCCGCCAGGACGTGGTGCACATGCTGCTGGAGGAGGCCCCGCAGCTGCTGCACATGGAAGCCACCACCTACGCCGGGCTGACTGCCTACCAGCTTGCCGTGTGCTACGACGCCATGCTCGCCGAGCGGCTGGCTAGCAGAGGCGCCCGTCCGCAGCCCTTCCCCGAAGACGACGGCAGCGAGGACGAGGAGGAGGTGAGCGACGAGGACAGCTGAGCCGTGCGGGGCCGCGGGGCCGCGGGGCCACCCACGTTGGGGCCGCACTCTCTGGATTCGGACACTTAGTTTGTGAACGGGATGGTACAACATTCCTGGTCGAGTGACGTGGGTCGGAGGTCTTTCTGTGATGTGGCAGGCTGGCCAGGCGAATTTTATCAGCTACTGACTAAACTGCCTTATATATAAATTTAGTTATTGTTTTGTTTGTAATTTGTAAGTTTTGTGATGTGCTTAAATTTTTAGTTTATCTTTGTGTTTTGTTTCGCCCCTGAGATAAGACACTAGTGTCAAATATTTGGCCACTTTAGAGAGCTCTGAATGTTAGTTGGTTCGGCCGTTATTGATCATTGTATTGGTTTTTGTAATTGCTGTTTGTTAACGACTGTAACTGACTTTGACAATTTTTTTTTTCATTTTCTTTTATCAGATGTACCGGAATTATCATCACCAACTGAATTTCTTCGGGGGTCCCATTAATGCATCTGCTTGAGGTTTTCTGCTATCATCTCATATTGGGTCAGTAGGGATGTGTGAGGATGTGGTTGTCATGTGAGCGAGCATTAACATATCTGGCCAGAAACTCTCTATCAATGGAAGCTTGGTGAAGAACTGGCATTTAATTTCATGGTTTCTGATAAATTCAATGATGCTGATGCAGATGTTCTTTGTCTCTGATATGCTTTTCTATTTGAGTATTTGATTCCAGGATTCCATAATTATATCATTCTTATTACATATTATCATATACTATTGCCAAGATTTTGGTATATGTTAGTGCATGTTGAAAAAATTATTCATGTTGACTATAGATTGTTTTGAAGCAAATGTTTTGGTTAACAGTGATAGTTTTAGAATAACAAGTCAAATTATGAGTTTAAAATAGGAAACAAGAAAATATTTTAAAACAAAACAAAAACAGGACTGACCAACAGACTGATTGACTGACTATGAGTGTACGAATGCTGCCTGCTTTATGTCAACATTATTCAAATGGTTTCTCTTTCCACATGGAACTCTTTGTTGCTTTAATAAGTAATTTCCACAAAAAACAGTTGTGTTGAAGCTTTAGATATCCACCAGCAAAGCTTTCATAAAATTACACCGGTTATATTAGTGAGGTGTTAATTTAGCTATCATTCCTGTTAAGTTACTATCACCAATGAGATGCCAAGCAAGGGCCACGAGAAAGGTGAAGTCACAATATACTGGCTAACTTTGGCTGGCTTTGTCTGACTAAAATTAAGAATTTCTGTTAATAATTTTCATTAAAAAAAAAAAACAATAAAATTTGGATGTCTGTAGATATGTTGGCAGCTCATTCTGTTATTGTTAGGTTCAAAATTGTATCATTAGAATGGTCAAGGAAAAATTGATTATAATTCCTGGTGTATTCCATTATGTATGACTCGGAATGGTTTGGAATTGGCTGATAAAGAGCCTTGCATCAACCCAAACACTCTGATAATTAAGTTTCTAATTGAAAAGGAAAGAGCATATTTTTCTAGAATTTTCTGTAGAGATTCCTTGATTGCTGTATGATCATAGTTCCATGCAGAAGATTTATTGTTTGTTTCTGTTTGTGTAACAAGTGAAGGCCTTTGTGATCATGTAGTAAAGAACCAATCTGTGACATTTAGTCATTGTTTCTCCATTTTCTTACTTTAGAAAATGTGATGGAAATGTACTTGTGATTATTGTTACATGTAAAAGACTGGGGAAGTAGAGGCAGAGAAATACTTTGCCCTCATATCCATCCATTGTTAAAAAGTACAATTATTACTCCTGTAATCATATTTTGAGCATTGTCCTATTTATTTCTAGGTATAATTTTTATGAGATAGATACATCCTTGTTTTTTCCTCATACTTTAAGTATCTGTTATCCACTGCTGTTCAGTACTTGTATTGCATACCACTGGTCCCTCGGCAAAAAAATTGAACCATTAACTATGATGTTTCCTTGGGAGCAGAATAATATGAAACCAATGATACAATGCAGTGTAGTTGTATGAAATTGTCGGCCTGACCTGGCCTCAGATCGAGCTTCTCAAAACTGAAAATAATGGTAAAAGTTCGCTGCCTTGATAATGTATTTGCAACACATTGAAGCCTACTGCTCTTACTAGGTGATGCTCTTGGTCAATACAATGTGCTCTTGGGGAAGGTTTGTGTATGTGTACATATGAGGGATGTGTGTGAAACTGAACTGTCACTCTCCCAGTTCTATGTTCTTGACCACCGTTTAAAAAATTATGTTCAGATACTCTGAAAAAGTGCTGTAGCTGTTGGTCTATTTTTATGTTAAGGTTGTATATACTTTGTAAATATCTAAATAAATGTCTGAAAGTTACAAATTTATTGTCTCCTTTTTCTTCACCTGCCCTTTGACGGTCAATTGGAACATCGTCAACCGGTGGCTCAGTCGGCAAGAGCGTCTCCCACCAATAGAGGGACCTGGGATCGAAACTGGTTCAAATCCCAGGTGTGGAAATGTTTTTCTCAGTTGAACTTTGAATCCCGTACCATCAGTATCAACATCGGCGAACATATTACCAGGAGAGCACTTGGATTGGAATCCCAGGGTCAGGAACATTTTTAACAGTTGACAGGGGTTGATCACCTTTAGAAGGAAGCTAAATCTGCGTAGTGTATAAAGATGGCGAAGGAAATAAAATGAAGTAGAACAAGCACAAACAGAGATGAAATATATTATCAACAAGAAATATAGTAAATAATTATCACATTTTTTCTTTTCTCTATGACCCATCACACCCAAGACTATTTTCTAACTCGCTGTGTTAAACAAGAAGGATACAAATGCCATAAATAGTAACTACTAGTTGAAGAGAGATAATTATTGAGCCAGCACAACCAATACCATAAAATAATTTCCCTTACTATGACTAATGGACTTCAAATCAAAAACACAACTGACAAAAATTTTGACTGATGGAGGTATGGTACGTGCAAGGGGGTGTTAAACCTCACATCAGTCTCTGTACAAGATTAAATAATAGAGGGAAAAAAATATTATTCTAATGGCTTTTTAATATTTATCTTATTACTTACAAAGCATAAGTACAAGGTAACTAGTCTGACTGAAAAAGTAAACCAGAGCTCATTGACATTTCCAATCCTAAGTTTTGAGTAAAAAAGTACTTTGGAATGTTCAAAGAACATATTGCACCGTTGGAGAAACATACGTATTTGGCAACATTTTAAGAGCTGGTACAGTTGATATCGATTACAACTTGCTGCCCAAGGCCCCACTTACTTGATCCAATTCTACATTTGCATGGAATCCACCCTCAAAAGCTGCTTGGAGCACCTCATCAACATGAGTCACAGGAATGAAGAAGAGATCTTTCTGTAAAGGGGATGAAGAAACACAACATGTTTAAGTTATGAGGACATTTTAACCGTGAAAATAATAATAAAAACAAAGATAACACTAAAATGAAAAAAAAAAGTTACCTTGATGCTTTCTGGAATGTCCACCAGGTCTTTCTCACATTTCTTAGGGAGGATAACTCTACGAAGGCCAGCTCGATGAGCTGCGAGAACTTTTTCCTTGATCCCACCAACCTTTGGAATACAAATATTTCTTTCAGCACTACACTGCCGCTCCTTATTTATGACACAAATAATTTTAGTACATGGCACAGAGTACTTACAGGTAGCACAATGCCTCTGAGAGTAATTTCTCCAGTCATTGCCACATCAGAGGCGACTGGGCGGCCCGAGAAGAGCGAAACGAGGGCAGTGGCAATTGTCACTCCAGCAGAAGGTCCGTCTTTACCAACAGCGCCAGCAGGGAAGTGGATGTGGATATCAGTGTGAGACATCATTTCACCATCAAGTTTCAGCCCGTACTGTGCAGTGATTGAAATTTCAACTGTTTCATTATTTTAAATCACAAAGGAAAACAAACAAAAACTTTTTAGAAAGAGTCATACTTCTCGAGCAGCTGTTCGCACCCAATTTAGAGCCAAATGGGCTGATTCCTGCATTATGTTGCCAAGCTGACCAGTCAGCACTATTTCTCCATCACCTTCCATTTTACTCGCTTCAACCATCATGACATGACCTCCAGTTTGAGTCCATGCCAAACCAACTGCCACACCAGGAACGCCGAGCCGTGACCAAATATCATCGCTATCATAAATTGGAGGCTGTTAAGGATATAAATGTTAAATAGTTGAAGTGTACAGCAGCACTTGCCTGTACTAAAAAATTCAATTTCATTCTCCTTACCCCAAGTATGTCTTCAAGAGCTGCTTCATCAAGAAGAATGGGCAGCTGTGGAGGTATAGCGCAAGAAGCAGCATCTACTCTCCCATCTGCAACTTCTCCACTCCTAACATCAGTCAGTGCTTCATCACTAATGCTCTCAATGTTTGCCTCCGAAGGCTTTTTTAATTTCATTTCTGCAACACGCACTGCTACAGCTCTGCACAAGGCTCCCAACTTGCGTTCTAGAGTTCGAACACCAGCCTCTCTAGTGTACTGTGCAACTAGAATTATAATAATAAACTGATTTAGCACACTTAGGATTTTATTTTTAGAAAGAAAAAGAAGATTATTTGAAGTACACCTACTCAGGGTCTTCAAGCTATCCTGAGGAAGCTGCATATGCGTTGAATCAAGGCCATGCTCACGCAACTGCTTTGGAAGGAGATGTCTCTCAGCAATCTGCATCTTCTCTTCCTGAAAAGGGTTAAAGATTAAGTTTCTGATATACAGTAAGGAACAGAGGTGCAATCTGTCACTTCATCAAAAAGTTTCTTACCTGCGTATATCCTGGGACATGTATAATTTCCATCCGGTCAAGAAGAGGAGCCGGAATGCTTTTCGTTGTGTTGGCAGTGGCAATGAACATTACTTGAGATAGATCAAACGGCACATTAAGGTAGTGGTCCACAAATGTGCAGTTCTGCTCTGGATCCAACACCTCTAAGAGGGCTGAAGCAGGATCTCCATGCATTCCAGATCCCTGATTCAAAACGGAAAATAAAGAAATAGTTTTTTTTTTTTTCAGTTGCATGTGTAAGGTTTATTGAAAATAAAATAAAATTACCATTTTGTCAATTTCATCCAGAAGAAAAACAGGGTTGTTAACGCCAACCACCTTAAGGCCCTGAATAATTCTACCGGGCATTGAGCCAATGTATGTCCTCCTGTGGCCCCTTATGTCTGACTGATTGCAAATTCCACCAAGAGAAATGCTGAAGAAAAATTTTGAAAGGTAGATTAGACCGGCTGATCATAAATCATAAACCAACTGACAGGATTTACTATTTGTTTGTTGTGTTACCGATAGAACTCGCGCCCCAAAGTATTGGCAATGGACCTCCCAACACTGGTCTTTCCAACACCTGGTGGACCCACAAAGCAAAGAATAGGTCCCCTAAGGGTGTTCTTTAGTTGACGAACAGCCAAATATTCTAGCACCCTTCGTTTCAACTTGTCCATGGCGTAATGATCTGCATCGAGGTCCTTGTACAAGTAAGAAATTAAATAGCATCTTATCTTATCATATATGATGGCAGTATTGTAGCCAGCACAATCTTACTTACCTTCCGAGCTTTGTGAATATCCAATGTTTCCTGAGATGCACGGGCCCAGGGTAATTCAGAAATCAGTTCCAACCAACTTCTAATAACACCATGTTCTGGACTGAAAGGTCCCATCCTTTTCAGCCTTTGTAAATCTTTAACAGCAACTTTCTTGGCTTGGGGAGGTAACTTGGCTTCTCTGAAATAAATTACATAATGAGGAAAGAACCCTTTCCTGTTGCTTTCAGAGCTATTTCTTAAATAATTTTTAAGACCTTACTTCAGTTTTGTCTGTAGTTCAAGTAAATCATTTGTATCACTATTAGTATCTCCTTCATCATCAACCCTCTTGGATCCTTTAGTGGTGTCACCGATATTCATTCGAAAAGGTACTATGATTCGTCGTCCAGAATTATTTTCCAAAGATGTACCCTTCCGAATAACTTCCAGCACTGTTATGACAAAATAAAAAATCAGCACATCTTCCTTCTAAATGTGTTTCAACAAACATAAGATAAATTACATACTCTTAACTTGTCGGACAAGAAGAGGCAAGGCTTTCTTGAAGCGTTCCATTAGATCTATAGCATCCAGAATTTCCAATTTCTCAGTAAAAGATGCTTTAGTTAGAGAAGCAACAAGATCAGCTAGCATAGTGTGAGGGATGGAATTGAGCATTTTCTGGAAAGGAAGGAAAATATATGGGTCTAGCTGTTCAAGTCTCAAAGACAATTGTTTCTACTGCAACACCAGACTCACCCTCTTACCTTTAGTCTTGCAACAACAGGACTTGATACATCTAGCATGTCTAATAGCTTAGTTGATTCACTTCGGAAATTTTCGACTAACGCAGCAAACTCGGGATTTTCATCATCATCTTCTAAAAGTAGATAAATGTCAAAGTACAATTCCATACGCTTGGCCAAGGCACATCATAGGTTTAATCTAAAGTACTCACCATCATCTATTGAAAGTTTGTCCAATTGTGTCACAACACCAACAGGATATGGCACCTCCATTACAAGTTTATCAAGTCGGAAACGACACAAGCCAGTAACCAGAAGAGTAAAGGATGGACGAGGCCAGTTTGTACCAGTTACCTGCACCACTAGAGCTGCTGTGCCAATGTTGTGCAGAGCTCCAACGTCCTTTCAGTGGAGTAAAAGTGTTAAACAACAGTATTCTACAATGTGAAAGCGGAGAACGCAAAATTAGAAACTTACATCAGAATCAAATTGTCCCGGTTCCTTGGGAAGAACTCCAATAATGGAACTGGATAGGGAACTCTTGCTGAGTAGACGACTCTTCACCATAGCAATGCTAGACAAAAAGAGAAAATAATTTACTGTATGAAAACATTATCTCCCCCCCAAAAAATAACAAAACAAATGAGAGAGACCAATAAAATACACATATGTATATCAGCAGGATAATGATTCAAAATATTAAAATTAATAGAAAAGAGCAAAGTTCGAGAAAGTTGTTGTTGGTCCATGAAAGGCAAACAACCCTTTCTGGTCTACTCACTTGGCTGAGGAGGTAACAGACACCCTGATCGACGACCCTGGCAGCAGAACATCTTCAGTGACTAGCAGCAATGGCAATTTGCGGGGTATACTCGCAATAGACGTCATTTTGAGAACTTTATCCACTACAAAACAAAGTTCACTCCCTTGTTGTTTTTATCAATCATGGCCACCGCCTTTCTCGAACAATTTCTCGACCTAGGAACCCCCCCGGCCCGGGGGGGAGGAGAGGAAGGAAGGGGAATACTAGCACTGCGAATAATCAGCCATTTACAAGTTATTTGCAGGGTAGCCTGCCTGTGAATAGAGGCCCGAACCGAAATGGCGGGTGTTTTGAACCATTTTGACGTTCATTTGGTGTTCTTGTCCTTGACGTGTTATGTATGCGAGCAGCTGAGGCTAAGCGCGCTCAGCACAGTGTTGTTCAAACATTTTCCACGTTCTCAGGCTGTTTTCTTTCACATAAAGTCATGCCACTCGAAGCATTAGCTTGATTTTGTTCTATACATGTCCTTCACTTGTATGCTCAACAAGGAAAAAGGGATATTTAAGCTAATTAAATTACATAAAACTGTTTATTGCAACAGAAGACATTTACAACCAGATGGACCCCCTACTGAAAGAAAGACATCGATTTTTCATTCCCCCCCCTCCAGGTTCATTGACGAGGCAAGGAGAAATTTTGAAACATAGTTGTACAAAAATAGTACTAGAGAAACTTCATGAGCTGAATGTTGCTAAAAATAACTTAGGACGTGTAAATAAATATTGCATTGGGAATAAATATCACCATTAAATTGTTCTACTTTAGGATACCACTCAAGAGAACACAGAAAAAGAAAAGAGGATTCCTAAAACACGCTGTTCCTATTTTGGAAGAACAGTCTTCATTCAAAAATACCCTGTCCAGAATAAACATTTGCCCTTCTCATGATGTTTTGAGATTCTTATAAGAACATTTCATTGTGCTGATAAATGGTAACTCTTAAATTTCAAGTGGCACGCAATACATTTTCAATGAACAATATTCTGCAAATAACTAAATACTTTAATTAATCAGTCGTTTCTTCCCTTTCCATAAGGGATACAATTAGCTGTCAATCTATAAAAATTGATTTATTTCAGATTTTTTTAGAACTTTTATCGATAATAGAATCACTAACAGCTTTGACTCCAAGACCAGCACAAGTAAAAAGATCAAATTCAGGTCGATGGCAAAGCGCACTGCAAACATTAGATGGTTCAACATTTCTTGGGCGCCTGTGGATGAAAAAGAAAGGTACAAAGAGTTAATAGAAAATACCAAACAAGCTGGACTTGAAAGTTCTCTAGGTGCTTAAATCTACCTGGAAATATCCCTCCCCCATGCCTCTGAAAATGCCCTCCTTGACAGGTCCTCAGCTAATGATTGGACAGCCTGTAAAAAGAACAAAAAAGAGGAGGTTTTTAAAATTTTGTCATGAACTTAGAATCATGTCTAGACAAAGACGGACCTGAATAAGCATTCTGTGAGCAGCAGGATAGTGCACACCAGGGACAATTTCTTCTGACGAAACTCGGAGACCCAACCGCTTGAGTGATTTCAATACTATATCACCAATAGAGTGTAAATGTGGCTCTAGAGGCATTTCATCTGTCTCTTTGTGGGTGTGCAGAACACCAGGCTCTTGTTTTATTTTGGCTGAAACAGGATATATTGATTTAGACAAAGTATACAACAAATGTTAGATAGTAAAAGAAACAACTAGTACTTTGAAGAGGAGATCCACTGGAGACGATGTCAATTTCTTCCTCAGATTCATCAGAAGGACCAGTTACATCTGATATTCGAGACGCTGAGGACAAAGAGGAGGACCTTTCTTGGGCGGTAAGCCATTCCTCAACAGCTGCTATTTCTCCATATGCACATATTGTTGCAATCGGATTTACACAATCACCACCTAAGAAAAATAATTACCGTAACTCTTAGCCACATTTTTAAAATGTTTACTCTCATCAAAGGTGAAAAAACATTTTCTTTATTTTAAAAGAGGGAGAGAAAAGAGAAGGACCGTACCACAAGAGGAATCTCTTGGCTGAGGTTTATCTGCCACTGACAAACCAGGGGTATATCCATGAAAGCGAGCCCAAAGTACTATTTCTCTGGTAGTCCACACATTTTGCAGATCCCATCCAGCATCTCGTAGCAAAGAACGGGCTATTTTAGCACGTAACCACTAAAAAGTGGGAGGAAAAATCACAAATCAGTCAAAATAATTGTCTTTTAAAACTTCAGTTTTGAAAAAGAAAAATCACTGGCTGACCTCACAAGCACGTTGTTTTCCTATATTCCATGAGCAAAATATCTCCTCATTGGGTGCAGAGTATGGGTGAAGAATTTTGAATTCTGGATGCTTCGCCTCAGAATTGATCAGAGGCAAATTTCTTATCATCCAGCGAACAGCTCGCCATACATCATCTTCTCCTCCATTAGGACAATATTTTACTACAGATCTAAAAACAAATATATTGAAAAAAAAATTAGAACCCATTTAGACAGAGGGTAAGTAAGGACATCCAATTTCTGGCACTTACTTGAGCACTTCTCTATAAGTAAGTGCTTGCTGAGAGGTGGTTGTAATGGATGAAGAACCAGTGGTACGCCCAAGAATGATGCGCTTGTTTGCAGTGACCACATCAGACTTTCCTAACACTGAAGGTGACAATGGTGGCCTCAATAATGACACAGCTGAGCTGGAGGATTTATTCGCTGTGGCCGCTGAGGCCATGTTAGACTTAAGAAGGCTTACTGCAGGTTTAAGGAGGCTTTTTCCAGATTTCACAGAAAGCCTTGGTAAAGTTGGAGTGCTAGAAGAACTGTGTGGTGGTAAACGCTGTGCCAGCAATGAATTTGCTTTATTAGCAGTCTGCAGCGTCTCATTTGCAATGAGGGATGATTTTGGCACTGACATGCGTACAGCTGTAGGAACAGCAGCTACCAACGAGCGAGGTTTGAGAAGCACCGTAGGGTTAATGGTGAGCATTGGCTGGTTCCCAAGTGAGCTGACAGGCACTCCTTCATTCCCTTTGCTTTCTGGAGTGGAAGCTGTAACTAATGCAGAAGCACTGCTACCTTTTACGAGCTGATTTACAGCCGTTGTTATTTGAGGGATGACGAGTGATTTGCTTGATGTGCTTGGCACAGTTGCAGATGTGGTAACCCTGGTGTCTTGACTTGACAAACTTGCACTTGTTGTCACCGAAGCGACATTCAAAGTGGGAGCTGATGAGATCCTGCTGCCGCCAGCAGCTGCACCAAGAGCACTTTTCATCATGAACAGCTTTCCATCCTTTAGCACATAAAGTGGTCGGCTGCCGTTGGCTGCTGCTGCTGCTGGAAGCCTTATGATTTGCTGGTTGGCTGAGCTTGCCGGGACCAACATTGGTCGCACATTGGCATTTCCAGCAGGTCTAACCAGTCGAAGAACTGGCCCAGCTCCGGGAGAAAGAGAGAGTCTTGGTCCACCCTGTATTTTAACAGGAGATGTCAGTACTACCTTGGGAGTTGTTTGAGGTGGCACTTGTAACACAGATTGTGCTGCAGATGGCTGAGATTTAACAGGAGTTTGACTGGACTGTACAGGTACTTTTGATGAGGGGAGAATAATTTTAGTAGTCGCTTGAAGAGTTGCTGGCGTTGCAGAAGTTTGAATAGGTATTGGAGCTGTAGTTTGGATAGGCAAATGAGATGTAGTTTGTGGCACAACTTTTGCTGAGAGAGTCTCAGGTGCTGCTATCAAATTTTGTGGGACAGGAAGCTGGGAGGATGATTCCTTCCTAGGAGTGCCCGCTATTGGTTTAGCCAAGTTTTCTTGTGCAGCCGGTGGAGTTGTAGAAATTGTCGCAGTGCCTTTCCTAAGAATTTTTGGCAAAACATCAGTCCTCACTTGCAAGAGGCGAACTTTACCTTGACTATCAACACATTTCACAAGTTGGGTTCCAGGCTTCGTTGGTGAACTTAGTAATGCACTAGAATTTGTAATCAACTTTGAGGGAGAACAAACAACAGAAGAGTTTGTTTGTGACACTGTAGTTGTTGAAGACCCAGTCAGTATGGCTTTTGTGGGACTCAGTAAGACATTCATCGAAGACAGAAGTGGCTTCCTTTGTTTTGAGTCACCTAATGAAGAACTAAGAACATCAGTTGATACTAAATCCCTTTCTCTTTCCAAGGGTTCGAGCTTAATTTTGTCAGCTGCTGAGAAGTTATCTATTAAATTTGTCTCAGCTACCACAGAGTTGAAAATCTTCTTCGAAGGGCTTTCTTCTTTTTCAGTTTGTTTTAAATGAATCCTTGAATTTTTTCCAGCAGAAGGATTGGAATTTTTTGCATCTTTTTCTAAGTTGTCCGAAGTTTCTTGTTGACTTGAAGACAAGTTAGTACTAGTAGAAATTGTCATTTCATTTTCCCTCCAAGAAGAATCAGCGATTTCATCAACAGGTTCTGTTTTAACAATGAGTGGGTCACAGGTAGTTTCACTTGGCTTTTCCTCTAAAATTATTTCTGTTGGCTGCTCTCTATGTATCCATACTTCAGCAACAGTTTCAGAACCTGTTCACAACAAAACAAATGTTTCAAATGTGTAATTGGCAATTACAGAAAACTCATTCTTACTTTGACACAAAGTTTCAACACTGGAAGAATAATTTCTTAACCATTTCTGTTTCCTCCTACACAACACTTACAAAACTGTGAATGTAGATCACAAGTTGGTGACTAAACAAGTTCCTGGGAAGGTTAATGTCCAGATGTACACCATTTCTTCCCTACCATAAAGCTGATTCCTCTCAACCTTTTTAGTCACCAGTTTATACCCTTTCTGCTCAAGTTTATCCAAAACAACCTTTGGTGACGCCCGAACCTCATACACTGATTCAGGGGATCGCCGAGTTGCTCCAAGAAATTGCATGAGCTCAGGATCTGATTTCTTGTTCCCAACTATACAAACTGGAGGGACATTTTGCTCCCTTTGATCAAAATTCCTAGCTAGTTCACGATACTGCACTGTAACTAGGGGCTGATCTACATCACGGCGCTCCTCCATTTGTTCCGCCTTACTCCTCAAAAAAGAAAATCGCGACATTGATGCTGTCGAGTTAAAACATCAACAGATAAATACAGCAAGCACCAAAGTGAAACTTTAGAATGAACAAGCCTGATAAAGAGTGATGCAAAGTTTCAGCAGAGGATCACTGGCTACACTACCCACTTGAATGAAGACTGTCTTATCACCTGAGCCCCACAAGATACCGCACATTGCTCTTATCAGTTACATGGGGCACTCTTTGCAAAGAATAAACAATAATAAAAACAAAAAAGCAACCTGAGTGTTGCTTATCTGAACAGCTTTAGCCTTCTGAGCAATAGTCATATGGCACCTCACAGAAGAGGGCACGAAGTGAATACATGAATAAATTAAGTACAGTGCCTGGCGAATGGGGTTTATGAATACATTAGCTGCCACCTACAAGGCCAGCTCAACGTAGCAATCAAACAAACAAAAAAAAAAAAAATATTTTGCCAAATGGGGATTACTTTGAGTCATGTAATGAGCCTTTCTTCACTTACCTAAAGTTTGAAGTCCTGAGTATGTTCTATCAAGCTTGAGATTATGAATGATATCGACTGGTTTATTCAAGCTGTTGCTAAAATGAACCTGAACACGAATGGGAAATTCACCCCATCCGCGTCTTGAAAGTTGAAATGGAGGACACCTATAAATTTTTTAAAAATATTTACTAAAACAATAAGAGAAGTCTTATTGATAAGTTCTTAGATTACTAAGGGACTTACACAACTTGCACAACATCATTGGGACGGTAGCTGGGATGAAGAAAAAATCTTACTTTGGAAACAAAACTAGAAATATTGGGGGCACCTTTTGGCCCTCGTATATATACCATCCATTTGTGACTGGCGGCATCGTCTCTGGAGTCAGGGGGCAACCACTTTGAGACATTACCAACAACCAATCTAACAAACATAACAAAAAGCATACATTACAAAAGATAAATGGAACATTAAATGCAAACATATCAGAAAAAGGCGATAAACATACATAGTTTTCACTTTGTTTTGACCACCTCTGATGGGTTCTGACACATTACCCGCATTAGGCTTTAATTTTGGTTTAGGTGGAATGTATCGTGGTACTTTTTTATCTTTTCCTGAAACACTTTCACAGCTGACTGGACTAACACTCCGTGACAAAACATCATTGTCTTTGACTTCAACATGTTTAGAACTTCCAGAACTGCTAGAAGCAAAAGACCCTTCAGCTGGGATTGTAACGTTTTGAGCTAGATCAGGGGCTCCAGGGGGTCCCTTCCCAGAAAGCAGTTTCTTCACAGCTGGATGGATACGACGTTGTCGTGTACTTGCAACCTGCAGACAGAACAAGTTTCTACACAAGGAGATCTAAATAATTTTCAATAGATGATAATGAGCAGTACTAACAGAAGTAATTGTCTTCTCACGACTGTAAAAATCTGACACTACAGCATAGCACAGATACTGCAATATTCTCTGTGTTTGTATAATCCTTTCTTGGACTTCCATAATTTCATCTTCTTTAGCTTGAAGTTCGTTATCAAACTCAGTTTCCAATATAGAAAGGATTCTTTGTCGCTCTGCATCTGTCGAATAAAACAAGTTTAAATCATTGCACAGGGAGGACAATAGCAAGTAAAAACAACTCAGTTTTGAGAATTGAACTGGATACACAAAGAAAACTAGGGATGCTCATTTAACGTACCTGAATAAACTCGTACATTCTTTTCTGACAGCTGGTTGGCCCCTGTCTGGCTCGAAGGAGATCCCTCTTGGAAACATGCTCGCTTAGCTTTGCATGGGCTACCTTTTTCCCGCTCCTCCTCATCAGGTTTCCGTTTATGGCATGACATCGAAGTTATTTTCTCTGAAGACGTTACAACATAAGGTTGTTAGACACTCAAGACCAAAGGAGGAAAAGAAATATTGTGAACTGAACAAGATATCTTAAGGCAAAGCAGAAATGTTTTCATCCAGATTATTAACTTTATCAACACCTCCTCATTGACATGACAAACATAACCTTACAGTAACAAATTAAAAATGCACATAATAAATGGAGGAACACAATTAAGCAACACGATGCAAGTCACTGCGTGTATTTGATAAAAATATTATGAAATGTTGGAGCAATCATGGTTTTTAATCACAGTAAATGCTATGTTTACAACAAACCAGTTGGTTGTGTTCTGCTTTGCTTACATCTAGATACCAAAAGGTACAAGGACAATGCAAAGGTAAATCGTTAGGGATGAAACTGAAACCAACCAGCTTCTTTCAATCGTACAATAAAATTTCTGATGCATGACAAGAGCCAAAAGATTTAAGTTCATGAAGAATGATTCTGCCCCACAGCGGGAGTACGGGTTTGGTGCGACACCAACATCAAGAATTTCTCATAGTGGTATTATTGTCATGCTCACGTACAACTTTTCATATTCACTACTGATTCGTTACCGCGATTTTTGAAATCAGGAATAAGTCTCGTTTTTTTTGGGAACCTGCACTCATCTTCTTCCCCACCACAAACGGAAAGAACAGTAAAGGGAAAACCAACACAAATTATTTCTGATTAAAGAGTGGCCTTTATTTCTGGTCATTTTTTTAATTCTTTCACAGTTTAAAAAGTTCTTCTTTTGTAAATCACAGTAAGAGGCAGCAAAAGTGTACAAAAATAGGAATCTAAAAATATAAAAATAATTGAACTGAAATTGTAAACAATCTTTGTATATAAACTATATTACAAAATTCAAAACCCACAAAACTTTTGTTTAAAACTCTATTATTAAGTAACAATTAACAGTAGTTTTTTGAAGTTTGTCAAAAACATTTGACTGTATTCAGTGACTAAAACAAGAATGGACTGTCTAATGCACCCCATCCCGCAGCTACACCCCCTTCATTGGCTGTGGCGAGCTTTGTTCTCAACATGTGACCCACTTGCTTATTCTCGAGAATTGTACCAGCATCCCTGTAAAAAGAGCAAGGCACACATGTGATTAAAGAGTGAAGTAATGCATCATGACTATGCATGTATAAAAGACACTTACCCTATGACAACACCATAGATGCCAAGCTCACTCACAACATCCACCAGCTCATAAGTGGCTTTTCCACGACCAGGCCGTAGCATGTAGTTCTGTTGCAGAGGTGGAACAATTCTATCCATTAAAATATATGCACTGCGCTCTTTAGAGTGCTGAATTTTTCCCAGAACATCGACAATGTCCTTTCCGTAGACATTATTGCCTCCTCCCTCACGTTGTGGCTTCAAAACAAAACGGTCTGGATCGGCAAGTGCCATTTTTACAGCCTTATCTCCAAGACTATCCTGCAATGGAGTTAGTTAAAATTAGAGGGGAATTTGCAATAATTTTTTTAGATTTAATTATGGACCAAATTTAAGTCTGTTACAAACCATGTCTAAGGAATACAAGCCAGTGAAAATCTTCTGTACAGGGCCAGCCTTGTTGGTATCGGGGAGGAATTTTTCCAGTGCATTTGGCAAAGCTAATGCCTGCTGCACCTAAAGGAAAATACAACCACAAATTTGTTTGAGAATCTGAATATTGAAAAGACATTGTCTCTGATACAGTACAGTAAATGACATACCTTTTTAGTACCAGCCAAGTGATAATGAATAGAGGGACACTTGATAGCAAGAGATTTTTCCATTAAAAGTCTAGCATCCCACTCTGCTTCTGTTGGGTATTGGTCTGGTGTGTATCCGGAGCGGAAATAGACAACCGCAACTTCGTATTTGCCTCTGTTAAAAAAGACATACATATGAAAAATTTCTGAACATGTTTAATAATACAGAAAATGTTGAATTGACAAGAACAAGGTGTTAGAGATAGAGACTTACACAAGTAAACGTTTGTTAGGGCCATCAAGCTTTGCTTGCGCTGCAACCTCGGTCAATGTTCTTCTGATAACTGTAACCTGTGGTTTCATTTTGCGGATTTCGAATTCATGGAACCGTTGGTCACAAATATTGTAAGTCACAGGTTCAACAATGAAAAGAATTACAGCCCTGAAAATCAAAGAAATCATGTAAAGTGAGGTGCAGACCAGAGGCAATTACACTGACTGGCAGACAAGGAAATTAATGCTTTCTTACTTTGGCTCACCATAGATTTCCCATGCCCGAAGCATGCCTCCACAAAGACCTTGCAAAGCTTCATTCTTGGGTAGCTGTAATACAAAGGAAAAACACAATGAACATTAAACAGTGGCTAATTTCAGTATGTTGATGAGTCATCTTCCATCTAGAACCCAAGTCTCTTACTTGTTCAAGTTTGTCATCCTGACCCAACTCGGAGAGTACATATCTAAAAGCATAAAAAATTAATTACTTGTTTGAAGCCAAGAAAAGGCAGAAGCAATATGGTAATAGTGACAACTTCACAATAGTTAAGAAACAGTTTAGCAGCCAGAAATGTGAGAGTTAAAGACAACTTAAGACAAACCATTACAAATGTTTGTTTCAAAGTGTGAGAGTTATAGAGATTCTTAAGAGATTGAAAATTACACATTCAGATAATTAACATAATAAGGATCACATAGTGACTTAGAGAAAAAAAAACAAGCAAAAACTTAACTAGGGATTTCTTTTTATACAGAAATCGGGGTGAAAATAACAGAGTACACTGAACAATATTTGAGAGAAAATGGCTCAGTCAAAATGCGCATTGTCACTATTTCCAAGGACCTTGAGTACTGTCAACTAAAAAAAATCTGAACACCATTAGTTCTGGCTAACATTAACAAATGATCATCTCCTATTTCTTAAATCGGAATTACAAATTCATTTTGAAACATTGTTTCAACTGTAACTTGAAAGAGTTGGGAAATAAAACTGTAATTAGGAAATCAGAAAGGTAGCCCTTCCATTTTAAGACACATGACTTGTATCAAAAATATTAAGTAACACACTCAAGACAGTTCTAAAATATTAGATTGAATCACAAAATGATGCACCCTTCATCACAAACAATTTTTTAAAAAGAGACGAAAATAAAGAGCTATCAAAAAAGACATGAAGATAAAAGAAAACAAACCGAAAAGAATGGAAACAAAACAAGCCAGAACATGGGTCAAAAAGTCGCTCAGAGATCAAACATTGTATCATGACGTTGGGTGGGGGACACCCAACATACCTATGCAAACGAGAAGTGGCGGTGGCGATTTGAGCCAAGCTGCTGGCGATAGTATTCATTTCCACTTGCTTGAGAATATTGTCCTCAGCTGAGTGAGGGAAGTAATCTGAACGAAACAGGCCCAAACTCAATGCCTGAAACCAAAAGAACACCAGTTCCAGACACATAGTTTGTCTTTGTCTTTGTGCATTTTGTATGTGAGCCAGAAACAAAACACATTACATCATCTCCAAACAGAAAAGTTGACATTAGCAAGAAATTTAATTGAAAATTTTATGAGGCAGTCACTGAAAAGAAAATGCATTCCAAAAGAGGAAAGAAAACATGAGAAGAACCCACTTTATGCAGTTAACTGCAGGAAGAATTAGCGGAACACATGTAAGCTAACTAACCCTTGCAGAGGAAACACTCAAATAGGTGACAACTTACAAGAGGCCCACCCCCTTTTTTTTAGGTTCTGAACCTGAAAAATACATATTACTTACACCCATAATAAGATAAAAACAATTATAAATTCACACAAAGCAGTTTAAAGTCAGGGCCAGAATGTGGATTGTTTTAACAAAGAGTAAAAATCCTCTCAACTACAGCCCGTTTCTCAATTAACAACTGACTGAATGTCAAAGAAGTTGACAAGCCAAATTTAAAACAACAGGCATGATTTGAATGAGCCATTTCTAGTTTAGTCATTGTTACTCTGTCATAATTTCAGTCCACCTAAAGAAAATCTCACACGACTGATACTATGAACATTTCTAACTAAGTAATTATTGACAAAAATACTGTATGTGATTGATTTTCAATCACCTGTGAATACCGGATGAGATTGGCCCAAGCCACCCAAAGCCTGAAGCAATTGTGTTGACTTCCACCTGTTTCCAGCAGCAGAATGCGGTGCACTTTCCCAAAAGGGGGCATCCTGACTCAAGCATGAGATCTGATCGGATGAGCCCCAAACTCAGCTTCTGTATGCAGCGTAATGTGGGGGTAGCGTTTCATACCAAACACACAACAGAAGAGACACACATAAGGAAAAGAGAAATAATACAATGCCAAACTTATAAAACATAAATAAAAACACAAAAATGCAAAAGGAAAATAATTGTGAAGACTGCTTATTGGCAGTATGATTTAAAGTGCAATTTCATCTTTCATCATTACAATTGTATAGTTTGGTAGTTGACTTCATGGATGTAACTAAAAAATGAATCGTGATGAAAATTGGAATATGTCAAAATAAGCCGTGGAAAAAGCGCAGCACAACAAGAAACAAATATAATCTCTTGCCACAGCAGGATGGTGCATGAAAGGCACTTTAGTTTCGTGAGAAAAAAAATTTCAGCGCTGTTGCTTTATAGCTAAGTTTGTTTTCACAACTGTTTTTTATTGCAGCAAGAGCTCCCATTAAAGCAGGCCAAGCCCAATCCAAATTTGACTCAAAGTGTAGACTTATTAAGAAAACTTGTAAAATTAGTATGAACTGCTGCTCACATTGAAATAGTTCGATAGATTTTTTTACCTGTGCGGTGCCTTCTCGGCGAATAGTTTCATACAGCTGGAAAAGTTTGGCAGTGAACGGATCCACTTCTAATGTGCTGCAAGTGGAAATACAATCAATCAAAGTAGACTGGCATAGTACTGACGGTGAGAAAATCCCAAAAACTTAACAAACCTTTTTAAACTTTCGAATAAAAATTCATAGGAGTGAGCAACTTTGTGAAACAGTTCGTTGATGATAGGCTGCAACCGAACAGCTCGATCAAACTCCGATTTTGGAAATGTCGAGGGCAAGAGGACGAATGGAGCAAATCGCATCCCGTCTGGATCATACCCTTCCATTGGCCGCATACCAGCACCTTGAAAATCATTAACAGAACGATGGGCGATTAGAAAGCAATAACAAACCAATTGACCAATACAACATCACTCTCACCATGCATTATGGCCCAGTCCTTTGCCTTATCCACGAGAGTTTCCAGTTCTTCTTGGTCAATTGGGACAGGAACACAGGTGTCAAGGCGTGGCGTTCCCATGATGATGATGATGATACTGTTGTGCAACATAGGGACAACGGAGGCATATTGACTCAAGGGTTAGACTTCTCTTATCAGTGACTGCAGCACTTCTATTCTATGGCTGAATTAAATTAAGTTTTGACCAGACTCCATCACAGCAGAAGGTTAAGAAAGAGATTCCTTTAGTTGGTTTGATTGAGAGTAAAAGTATGTCATTACTCACGAGTAAAGTTCTAGAACAAACACATGCATTGAATTATTTACTTTTTCAACTCTCAAGTAACACCTATTAAAGCATGTGACTTTAAGGAGAAAAGAAACGCTCGCGCGAAGCACAAATTGTTAAAAAGTAAGCAAAGTACCTCTCTTTAGGAGATGATCAGTAAACAAGCAAAGGAATTGCAAACAGGATGTTGTTTGAAAAACAAGTTTGAAAGCAGCAGCAGAAAAGCAGCCGCCACAATCAATCAAGGAGACAGACGGACAGAACTGACAGACGGACGGACAGACTTCGCTATTCGCAGGTCGATTGCACCTGCCAATAACGCACACCTGTGCACGCCCACGCGCGCGCGCGGGCTTTTCAAACGCTGCGGCTTTGGCGCGAGGACGTCGGAAGGGACTTTGCGGATGCTGCTGAGAGCTGCGAGCGCGAGGCGTTTCCCAACTGTCACGATGGAACGAATTTAAAACGGAATTGAAGACAGCGAGGGGGGAAGAGGGGAGAAAAGTTGGTAAAGAGCACTCGCCGATACGCGTTACTTGTGGACCTTTTTCCAAGTTTCCCCACCGGCAGCCCGCGCCGTTCGTCGCTCTGTCTCTCTCGCACCCCGGCGGGGCGGTTCTTCCGGCTCGCACGGCAGACAGAGGCCGCGACAGGCTCGTCGACGGGGAAGATCAAGTCCCAGTGACAGGTGCGGTCGGCGGTGCGCCGCGCGAGCATCCCCGAGGGGTGGCGGGGGCACCGGGAGGGGCGGGGCGCGGTGGGGCTCGCCCAGCCCCGCCGCGTTTATTGATCGAAGCGCAGCCTCCCTCTCGCTCGCACCGCGGGCCCGGGGGCGCGGCGGAGGGAGACGGCGCTAGTGGCGGGGCGCGGCGGGGCGCGGCGGGGCGCGGCGAAGAGACCACCCCCTGCTGGACTTGGGCAGTCTCGCGGTGTTTACCAGGACAGCGCCATGTAGCTATGCCGCACCAGATCCCCTTCACTGTCGTCTTCGCCTCAGGTAACGCGGCCAATTTTATTTTTTTCGAAAATTGCAACTCCGTGGAGCGATCGGTCCCGGGGCGCGCGGCCGCGGTGTGGCCCCGCACCCCGCGCAGGCCGCAGGCCTTGTCGCAGGCAGGGCGATGACGGGGGCTCTCGTGGTGGAGAGGTTACCGAGCGGCCCAGTAGACATGTCCAAGAGTCGTTTCGTCGCCCCGTCTCTGTCGCTCTCATGGGGCGTCCCGTGGGGGTGCGAGAGAGAGCGACTCCTCGGAATCGGCCGACAGTGTCGCTGCAGGCGCTGGGAGGCGCTGGGGGGGCCCTTCTTGTCCGCACCGCGGTGTTGCTGCAGTGATTGGTGGTCGCGGGGAAGCACGACTAGCGCGACCAGGCAGACGGCAGGCCTTCCTGCAGCATGCTGTTCGAACCAGACCCCGCTCCATTCTTCAAAAAAAAATGTAGCAAAACGTTAAAAGTTTGTTAAAAAAAAAGATAAGGCTTGTTGAAGAGGAAGCGACTGATGCACATATTTCTAGCCAAATTGGCCCAGTAGCGTTGGATGATTATCTAAATCCACCAGACGTAGAAAATTTTAGCTAAATTTCTAAAAAAGAAACGATGAAAACTACCCGGAGAAAGAAAAATTGAAGGCGGGACCCATTTTATTTCCTAGACGACCGACTTAATGCAGCTGTCGTGCATAGTTTCGAGGGAAGGCATTCGTCTTGTCGGCGGGGCGCCGTACTTTCGGATTCAGTCGTCACGCCATCAGTGGCGCGGCTACCGCGGGCCGCCTGGTATGTCACACGTCAGTCGCGCTGTGACACTGTGACACGATAGCAGACGACAGCGAGCAGGCGACAGGAATGAGGTTACGCAGGCAGCCAGGCAGGCGGCAGGTGGCACCGCAGTATGAGCAGGCGACGTCTATTCGACGCGTTTCGCGCGATTTGAGTTTTGAATGACCACGTCGTCACCTTGCTCGCGGCCGGGCCGGATTCTGGACACAGACTCGCTCTGTCTCTCGCGCACTCACGGGGCGTTCCGCGGGGCTGCGAGAGAGACAGCTGCCGGGCCCAGCGCGGTGTAAGCAGGTCCCTCTTCGCTCGATTGTCGCGAGGCCAGCCTGCCTGCCTGCCTGCCTGCCCGGCCTGCCGGCAAGAGGGCACCCAGGGGGCAGGCCGGGCAAGCCCGGGCAAGCCGTGTCCGTCGCGGTGCTTGTCCACATACTAATCTCTTGGTGCCTCTTTGGCCGCAGTGTGGTTACCCCACCCTTGCCTCCTCCCCGTCTCCTCGGAGCAGCAGACTGATTCCGAGAGTCGTGTCTCTGCCTCTCCCGCACTCTTGGGGCGTCCCGTGTAGGTGCGAGACAAAGAGATAGAGCGACGAAACGACTCACGACATGAGCCTGCAGTCGCCTGCAGTGCGAGAAAACGGGTCTTTTCCGAGACGATGCCAAAGTGAAGCACTCGTTTGCAGGCGAGGAGGAGCGCCATCCGGCCAGCGAGCTGAACCGCCATGAGCCCACGGTGCGGGGCTGGCAGTCGGCGCGCCACTGCAAGTACCCCCAGGAGCTGGTGCTGCGCCTGCAGCGGCCGTCCGCCATCCGCAGGGTGCAGGTGCTCGCCCACCAGTGCCTCATCCGTGAGTATCCGCTCCGTCTCACAGTTGATTTGCCAGAAGACCCGTGGGGGTGCCAGAGAGACAACCTGAGCCGGAATGAGTTTTGAATGGGCGAATGACGGGTGTGGTGTTCCATTCCAGCGGAGAGGATCGAGCTGTGGGTGGGCACCTATGACAGCTGGCGCGGCGGGGCGGGCGGGGCCGCCCAGAACGGCCACCCGGCGGCGGAAGGCGACGCCGAGGACGGCGACCGGGACAAGGACGACAAGGACGAGGTGGACGCGGACACCACGCCCTTCCAGTACCTGGGCTTCATCACGCTCTCCGACAACCAGGGCACGGGCTTCAAGTCGCGCGAGCTCAAGTCCGTGAGCGTGCCGCCGTGCGCGGGCAGCTACCTCAAGATCCGGCTGCACCGCAACCACTCCAACCAGTACAACAGGTACAACCAGGTGGGCCTGATCGCCGTCAACATCCTGGGCGACGAGACGGACGCCGTGACGGCCAGCAACGGCAAGCTCAGCAGCCCCGCCTCGGACGGCCCGGGCCAGGGCCAAAGCGACGCCGCCGCCTCGCCCTACGACGACCTGGCCTTCCAGATGTACGTGGACGAGGACGCCGCCAGGATCATCCGCGACATGGAGGCCCGCAAGGCCGCCGCCGTGCAAGGTGAGGGCAATGACCGCTTTCTTGCGGAGTGTTGGCAGTGCAGGGGATGGAGTGGAGTGGAGGGGTGGGCAGGAAACGGAGAGTCCCGTCGACAACTGCTGGGGCGGGGCGCGACCACGCCCTGCTGGCGGCCTGGGACTGCCAGGGGACTGCCAGGGCGCGTCGCCAACAACAAAAACAACAAACTACTAAAAAAATCCCGCTTGTTGTTGTTTGCCAGACGAGAGGTTCGAGTACGCGCGCAAGCTGAAGGCGGCCCAGGCCCAGCTGCACGCGGGTGGCGAGCGGCTCGCCAGGATGACGCTGGACAAGAGGGCGGCCATCGCCGCCGAGGACTACGGCAGGGCCAGGACGCTCAAGGCCACCATCGACCAGCTGCGGGAGCGCCTGTACAAGGAGCTGGCCGTCGACGACCTCCTGGAAAAGGACGGGGTGAGTGGCGGCGGCTGCCTCCACTTCCAGTGAAAGGCGTTCGGAGCCGCGGTTAAACGGTGTGGTTACCTGTGCCAACAGCCCATCAGCAAGAACGACGAGAGCCCCGACGACGAGTCCTCGGTGGACGGCGGCAGGCCGGTGGACGAGCCCGAGGTGCCCCTCCCTGAGCCCCGGCAGCCCCTCGGCACGGGCCCCGCGTCCCCCATGCACTGCGGGGTGCATCGCAGCACCGCCACGCCGAGCCCCACGCCCACGACGCCCGCCAGGGGAAGGTAGGTCCGGGGTTCGACTCCCAGCAGCGGCGCGCGGGTTCGGTATTCTCTGACGGTGTGGTGCCTTTTTCAGCGGACTCCCCCGGCCCGTCGTAAACCCCCCCGCCAAGGAGGCGCCGCCGGCGGTGCGCAGCGGCGGCGCGGCGGCCCAGCTGGTGCAGCGCAGGCGAATGAAGTCCGCCCCCGCCACGCCGGTCAGCACCCTGGGCCACGCCGCCGCCCCCAGCCCCGGGCCGGCGGGCGGGGCCTGCACGCCCACGGCCAGGAGCAGATACGAGGACTACGAGGAGCGGGCGCTCCCGGCCCTCCGGCAGTGAGTACCGCCACCAACGTTGAACCCTAGGGTTGTTCTTCGTCTGACGCGATGTCTTTGTCTTTCCCGCCGCAGCGGCCCCACCCCGGAGCCCGAGCACGACCGGCCGCGCTCCAAGCTCAACGAGCGCGAGCGGAAGCAGGCCGCGCTGCCCATCTCCGTGTTCGGCGTGGAGATGGTGAGTGCGCCAACGTCGCCACGGTGCACAGTGGGCTAGAAAACCGGTGGAGGCAGCCAAAATTCCAAACACGTTTCGAGATCCAGAGTCGCCAAATGGGACTCGAACCAAACGCGTTACCCCACCAGTGGATTCCTCGTTCGGAGAGCAATCCACTGGTGGGGTAACACGTTCGGTTCGAGGCCCACTTAGCGACTCTGGAGCTCAAAACGCGTCTAGAGTTTTGGCCGCCTCCACCGGTCTTCTGGCCCACTGTGTGGTCCAGGAGGACCGCGAACCGCGCTAAACGGAACCTCTGGGACCCGCAGGTGGAGAAGTTCTACTCGAAGCACTTCGCCGACAAGGAGGAGGGCCTGCGCCGCCTGCGCGCCGTGCTGTGCGACGAGGGCCGCGCCACGCCGCAGCCCAACAAGAAGGCCAGGGCCGCCATCTTCCTGCTGCACCGCGCGCTCAGGGACAAGGTCTTCTCCGTGTACAGCCTGGCGGCCGAGGTGATCCGCCTCTTCTTCACCAACTTCGTGCCGGACAGGGTGTCGTCGGCCGAGGTGGCGCGCTCCGTGGACCGCCTGCTGCCCGAGCTGCTGCTCAAGTCCGGCGACTCCACGCCCCGCATCCACAACATGGCCGTGCACACCATCCTCAGCATCGCCGACGTGGAGCAAGTCAGGTGAGGGAGAACGCCGGAGAAAGCGCCTGCGAAGTTGCGGGTAGGCCGCCCGCACACGTCGCTGCGCTTCGGTGGCCTACCCGCCGCTTCGCAGGCGCGCTGGTTGTCGAGCTAGCGACTCGGCGCACAGTGGGACAGAAGACCGGTGAAGGCGGCAAAAATTCTAGACGCGTTCTGAGCTCCAGAGTAAATGGGGCTCAAACCGAACGTGTGGCCCCACCAATAGATTGCTCTCCGAACGAGGAATCCATTGGTGGGGTCACATGTTCGGTTCAAGTCTCATTTAGTGACTCTGGAGCTCAAAACGCGTCTAGAGTTTTGGCCGCCTCCACCGGTCTTCTGGCCCACTGTGCATCGGTTCACTCCGAGGCCGAACCTGACCAAGCTGCCCGTCGTCCAGGTCCCTGAACGTGATTCCCGCCACGCTGACGAGGCCCCTGCAGGCCGCCACGCACCCGCGCCTCGCGCTCAGCCGGCTGGAGATGGTGGAGCAGCTGATCCTGAGCCACGGCATCTCGCAGCCCGGCACGGGCGGCTCCAGGGGCAGCGGCCGCGACAAGCCGGGGTCCGCGACGGGCGGCAGCGGCATGACCTGCCGCACCCTGGCCGAGCTAGGCGCGCAGGGCCTGCAGCACCCCGCCGAGGCCGTCCGCAAGGTGGCCGAGAGGGTCCTGGTGCTGGTGTACCGCGTCAACCCCCGCCTCGTCCGCAAGCAGCTGCCCCCCGACGACGACATCACCCGCAGGAACCTCCTGTACCGCCAGCTGTTCACCGACTTCGACGCCATCGACGTGCAGAGGAAGCGAGAGATGCAGGAGCGGCAGCGGGGGGAGAGCAGCGGGTCCGGGTCGCCCGCGCCCCGCCCGGCGGGCCAGGGCTGGGTGCCGCCGTCGGCCATGAGCGCGTCCTGGCACCAGGGGCAGGGCGGCGGCCTCGGCGGCGTCCTGGGTGGCGCCACCCTGTCGCCCGCGCCGTCGCCGCGGCCCGGGCTGCGTCGCCACGCCGCCATGGGGGCCATGACGGCCTCCATGAGCGCGTCCATGTGCGCGTCCTGGACCAACGGCTCGTCTGGCGCCAAGAGCGGGTCCTCGTCGTCCTCCTCGGGCGCGTCGTCGCTCGCGTCCCCGACGGAGGCTTCAGCGGAGGCGGCGGCGCGGCGCGGGGATGCCGACGTCAAGTCGTGCGACTTCTGCGGCGCGGTGTCCGAGACCTTCTCCTCGGACGAGGGCCTCAACTCGCACTACTGGCGGGCGTGCCCACTGCTCACGCGCTGCAACGAGTGTCAGCAGGTGGTGGAGATCGCCTGCTTGGCCGTGCACCTTACAGGTGAGTGCGCTGCTCGCTGGCGCGGGTTACAACTTACAACTGGCCCAAAGCCGTCATTCATTCACTCTTTACTTTTGCAGAGGAGTGCGAATTGCGGGCACTGTACCGACGGTGCGGTGGCTGCACCGAGGCCGTGCCGTTGCAACGCATGCAGCTGCACGTGTCGTCGTGCGTCCGTAAGTACACTGGAAAACTGAAAACAACAACAAAAGCCAACCTGAGTGGAGACTGAACCTTGTCCGTCCTCGCAGCGCTGGGCCCGCAGTGTCGCCGCTGCCCGCTGTGCCACACGGACGTGCGGGTGACCGACGCGGCGTGGCGGTCGCACCTCATGGGCCCCACGGCCAAGCTCTGCGCCGCCCACCCCCGCCTCAAGTACGCCCGCGCCGTCCGCGCCCCCGCCCCGCCCGCCGTGACCGCCCCGCCCGCGCCATAGCCCCGGCCCGCGCCGCTGCCCCGCACCATCGTCGCGGCCCCCGTCTGCGCCTACACCACCAGGAAGGTGCGCTTCATCGACGGGGACGTGAGCGGGAGGAGTCTGACAAGCAAGTCTATGGCGACGAGGCAGTAGGCGGGCAGGCAGCGCTGAGGGTCGGGGTGGGGTGGGACGACGCGGTGGTTTTGCCAGAGCCAAGGATTATGGTGCTGAAGTGTTTGGAGGAGGACTGATTGTCGGTAAGGTTTTCCGTTTTGTACTCAATTGGAGCCAAGGCAAATGGTACGGTTGTGTGCAGGGGAGGACTGATTGTTTGTGACTCAATCCACCTTGTTACAGCTTAGTACACCTGGAAAGTGAGCCATGACAAATATTTTTTTAGAGTCGCTTCCAGTATATTAGTTTTTATAGATTTGGAGCTCTTTGGATACTGCTGAGGGTGAATACTTGTGCTCACGAAATCTTCCTTGCGCTCTTCCTTCATGCTTCTCAGCTATCCCTGTGTTTCTCCTTTATCTTATTTTCATGTTGAGAGTTCAAAATGTGAACACCTAATCCCTCCTGGTAGTGTTTAGCAACTAACTGCATTTTACATGACAGGGTACAAAAAAAGATTAAAATTAAATATCTTTGCGTATCAAAAATTTCTAATTCTGAATTTTTGTTACAATTTTTTGATTCATAAACCGTTTTATTTTATGTTACATGTGCCCATGCATTGAAAAAAAAAAGCAGAACGTATAAAACACTTTACCAAGTTGCTGCCAGAGACGTTCATGCCTTGGCTGGCATTTGAAAAGTAAACAAATTTGAAACAATCCTGGCGATTGATAAGTTTATAAGAGCACAAGACATGTTGCTGTTGAGCAGATTGTATAATATTAAAATGATACCACCCAGATGGACCAGACAAGTCTTTACCTTGTATCTGCCAGCTAATGCAGGCTATCACATCCATCCACTTGATGTCATTTTTGTAAATTTTATGGAATTTATACGAAGCGTTTATGTAAGTAAATTTAAATAAATTGATTTGGTTTTGAAAACTTTGTACTCACTACCCTTCTTTTGAACAAAAATTAGGAAACCACCAGTAATAATAATCACATATTTATCACATTATTAAAACATGCCCATATTTACATTTTTGTGAGAAACCATCTTCAAAGTAACACTTTAAAGACAACTAGAGAGATTCTTGTGCTTTCTCTAGGACATTAATTAGAGTATTTACGTTATCACGAGTAAGTTCAATTCTGATTCTCCCATGCTGCGTTGACACATTCTTCGCTAATGCAGATGGGTCCCCTTTGGTTGTTGTGAGGTCCAGCTCCAGCAAAGTTTCTTGCAGAGATGACAAAGAGCTACTTCCCATGACCCACTGAAAAGTGCACATGTATTATCATACCTGCTGACTTAAGATCATTTTATTTTAATTGAGCGTTTTCTTTACCTTTACTTTCCAGTCATGATCAGTCAGCACCTCTGAAGTTCCATTTTTTAATTTACTGAGGAGACAATGCTTCAGTTCATCGCCTCGAACTGCTAAACAGTTCATCAGGCAGTTGATTTGGCTTTCGGGTAGGGGCAGGTTCTCAGCAATCTAAGAAAAAAGAAGGGTAGATAATAAAGAAAAAAACAGCACTAAACTTAACAGTAGAGTATGAATGAGATGAAGAATTTTACCTGTCTTTGATCGTGGCTATTGACTGCACATTCAACGATAAATGTCTTGAGACTCGAAGTCGCCTCCAGGAACTGGCTGGAAGTCCAGGAGCTAGAGGAGCAAAACTTTTCTGAAGCTGGACCTTTTCTTCCACATATTTCGTCAATACAGCGATGAATGAACTGAAAGAAAAGAATAACATTACCATTATATCAACTGACAGGTGACAGGGACAGGCACAGGAACTTAACCAAGAAATGCTAAACACAAAATAGCGTACCTCTTTTAAAATGTCTTCATTCAGAGAAGGCAGGAGTTCAATTAAAACTTCTGCTGATGATGTGGCCGACAATCCGGCGGTAGTTTTTGTCATTTTGGAATTTATAAAAGTTGATAAAGAGGATAATGAGCAATAGCAGACAGCAAAGGCGTCTACAACGTAAACAAACACTCTGCGAATAATGATAGACTACTCTAGGCAAAGTCAAGGTTTATATTCTCAAGATTTTTCTACTACTGTCATAAAATAACTTTATAATGTTTGCGAAACGTAAATTTTCAATGTCGCTTTTTGGTCTGACGTATTTTGTATTATTTTTTGCTCCAAAATTATGGTTTCTCGGTTCCTCCTATCATGTTCTGCAAATAAGCCTTTGTGTAAGTCGTTGAGCGTTGGGCCAGGTTGTTAGCATTCTCTCCCTCTCGCTCTGCTAAATCCGATTTATTTTGAATTGCGGTGAGTGTTTCTTGCATTTGTCAACTCTTTCACGATGACAATAAAGCAGTCATGACAGTAGTTTGATTTTACAAGGAGACCAGCTCCTGAAATGGGCCGTGCTATGTTCTCAAGCGTGATGCGTCATTTCTGTTGGAGCTATCATACGAAGGTCTAGGGAGGAGTCGTTGGATTACATAAGGGTGTCTATTTGTCCTGAATAGTAAAGTTCTATCAAGGTATCACCTATTTGAACTCTCGCATTTGGTTCTTATCAGCATGGAGTATATCCTACGTGCCTTGATATGAGTAATCAGGTCATGTGACACTGTCTGATAGCATTCTCTTTGTCATTCAGTGTCAAGGCACTTGGCTCGTCATTTGCCAGTCCACTGGAAGGCTATCCTTCTATCGCATCGCATGACTATGATTAAATCTGCTAATGATATCAATCTTTGCTCTTTGTTTCCTATTCCAGATTTTCCCATCACATCATCATGCCCATCTTGTACAGTGTTGTTGCCCGCAGCACGACTGTGCTTGCAAAGTATGCGTCCTGCGCTGGCAATTTTGCGGAGGTGACGGAAACCATCATGGCGAAAATACCTCCGGATAATTCAAAAATGACTTATTCTCATGGAAGCTACCTTTTTCACTACATCTGTGACAATCGTATTATCTACATGTGCATCACAGACGATGTAGGATTTTTGTACTGTCTTTCACTGATTGGTTTAGTCATCTGAGCGTTAACACTTTAATATTTTTCTGTTTAGGAGTTTGAGCGTTCCCGAGCATTTCTTTATCTGAACGAAGTCAAGCGTCGCTTCCAGACCACATATGGTTCTCGAGCTGAAACAGCTATCGCCTATGCAATGAACAATGACTTTTCCCAGGTTATGGCTCGAGAAATGGTGTGTATTGCAATATTTGAAAAGGACTGTGCAATTCAATATTGTTTAGAGTGGCCCTTATAAGGTATTTTATGTGTGCGTTTGCAGAAGCACTATTCGGATTCCAGAGAAGTAGACACTATTTCCCGTGTTCATGGAGAGCTGGAAGAAGTTAAAGATATTATGGTGAAAAATATTGGTAAGACTATATCATTTATTTCTAAAACTTCCCTGTGTTAACTCTAAATTTATTTTTAGCTTACCCTAGAATGCGTAAGTTCAAAATTTGATCTTGTATTTTTAGATAATATTGCTGAAAGAGGTGAACGCCTTGAGCTCCTAGTTAAGAAAACAGAAGATCTGAGCCAAAGTGTGAGTATTCTTTGAGTTCCAGTTCCTGTAGGTGCTGTTTTTCTTTGATACTTTCTCCTAATTTCTTTGTCTCTTTCAGTCTGTGTCATTTAGAAAAACAAGCCGCAATCTAGCTCGTGTCATGTTTTGGAAAAACGTCAAACTTTATTTCATTGTTGGTGGTGTGGCCTTGGTAAGTAAAATCTTGCATCTACCATTAACCAAATCCAACAACTTCCTTAAAATTTCCCCTCTTATATTTTCTTATTTGATTTTTACAGGTTATCATCTATTTTATTGTATCCTTGTCCTGTGGAGGTCTTACCTGGAGCAAATGTGTGTAGTCAAAAGCCATAAGTTCAGCCATACATTCTTCCATTTTCGTTTTAGGTTTGTACTGCTTATTACACTTTCAAATTCTCTTTTTACTTTCTTGCGTCGCATTCCCATGTATGGTTTAGCTTGATTTTTTTGCCCTGCTCCAGTCTCATATACTATCTATATCAACTGAAAACTATTATCTTATCAGAGATGTTTTGTTTCTTTTGTATAAATGCCATCTATTAATTGTATTGTAGCATTTTTTTTTTACCTTCATCAAAATCTGTAAGATAGCTAGTTTCAAGTCATTCAATTACCACAAGACTGTTAGAATTAGCACTAGCATACTTCCCTCTGAGGTTTTTATAATCATCTCAAGTAACCTTAACACTAATTTTGATACCTTTATTTTACTATGTTCATTATAGTGAGCTATAAAATACAATATTTTAAAATTGTTGCTGTAAGTATGAGTTTATAGTTATTCATTTATTTACTATCAATCGCCTTGTCTGATGATGCAATTCAGTTACACAGATGTTTTTTTGGTCTTGCTTGAGTTTATGTGAAGGTGTACATCATGGTGCTTTCATTTCACTTTGTCTTGTCTTTCTCTGAAAGATGAGAGCAAAGTTATGAAACGGATGTATGAATATAATGTGTATCTGTGATTTGAGTATTTTGTGTTATGAAAGTCTTACATTGTTACAATTTTAAGTAAAGAAATAATCTGAATTGTTTGTAATTATGTTTTCCCACAATTTATGTTTATGTTTAAAACCAGATGCTTTCATGCATAATAAATGTACAATATCTTAGCTGGTGTTTCCACTGTGACCCCCATGGCACATAATGACATACATTGATAAGAGGGCGGCGCCATAAAACTAAAACTACCCTCTACTGTTATACAAAACAAGCAAACCAAGCGCTTCCTGCAAGCCACAAGGACACGGAGATGGAGTGAAGACGAACATCAAGACACATTGGCAAGTTGAATCGATATAAAATAAGGGCTCGGGAAAAGGGCACGAGTTGTGTCTTCCCTTGACCGGCCCTTGGCAGTGGCACGCCAGGGGGTGGGGGAAGTCCGGCCCATCGGGCATCGGGCCCTTGGCTGGCCCTTGGCGAGGGGTAGGGCCAGGCAGGGCGCGCAGGCCGATTGCAGAGCGGGTAGGGCTGTGGGTCGGGCCGGGCCGTCGAGACGACGCGACGCCTCGCCTCGCCACGGAGCTCTGTGGGTCTGGGCGGGCTGCGGGGCTGGGCCGTGCCGGGCTGGGGTCGCTCAGCGCGCTGCGCTCAGTCGCTTCGCTCGCGCCTCGCGCCGACCGCTCAGTCGACTCGAGCTGGGCCGCGAGGAAGGAAGCAGGCGAAGCAGGACCCCGACCCCACCGCGCCAAGCCGCCGCGTACCGCGAGCCGCCGAAGCCGGACACGACTCGGCACACGCGCCGCCCAGCCGCGCCAGCCAGCCAGGCCAGCCGCCCCCGAGGGCTCCGCGACGACGGTGTCACGTTTCAAATCGGGATTTGGGTGTAACATAACCGGGACGAGTGACCAGTGTGATTGACCAGTGATTGGCCAGGGACGTGGTATGCGGGCGTGGTAGACGCCGCCTCCACCATGCTCCACGCCAGCCTGCTTTCCGTGGCCATCGTCGCCGTGCTCATGAGCACGGCGATGACCGAGCCCGCGCACCACCACGGCTACCGCGCGCCGCACTGGGACAGCGGGGAGTCGCACACGGCCGCGCCGCCGCGCCTCCGACACCACCTCCGCCACCACGGCCAGGGTGCGCCCGTGCCCGCGCCCGCGCCGCCAGCCGGCAGCAGCCTGGACCACCTCCTGGACCGCCTGGACAACCTGGAGACGATGAACCAGCTGGACGCCAGCGCGTCGTACTGGAGCCGCGCCGACGACCGCGCCGACCGCGCGGCCATGGAGGACCTGCGGCGCGCCGCCGACGAGTACACCCGCGGCGACGCGGCCGCGGAGATCAGGGCGGCCGTCAGGAAGCGCCACCACGTCCCGCCGGCCCTGCCCGCCCTGCCCGCCAGGACGGCCGCCTTGACCATGGCCGCGGACGGCAAGCGGAAGTACCACCACGAGTTTTCGGACGAGGACGACGACGACGACGACGACCTGGACAACGACGACTCCCTGGCGGACGAGGATGACAAGGAGGACGAGGAAGACGACGAGGAGGATGATGAGGACGACGGCGCGTCCGAGGAAGCAGACAAGGTGGACGAACTGGATGTGGATTACAGGAGGCACCACGTCAGCCCGGAGATGTCCCAGGTAAGGGTCGGTAGCCAAATCTGAACGTTGAGGTAGTTTTCGGCCGGAGCGGGGATTCGAACCCGGTACCAGACCAGTCCACTTACGCCATTGTTAACCCATCCTATAACCGGCCCCTCCACGGGGGGTGTCACCGCCGCGCCCCTGTCTGCCCCTCTGCCTTGGGGCCAACCAGCCAACCAACACGTGTGTGCAGAACGGCAGAACCCACACGTTGTTACTCGCGAGGCCTGCCGCTCGCCTCGCCGAGTTCAGTGGGGCAGCGAAGCGGCGGAGCAGCGAAAAGGGATTGAGACTTCCCCCATTCCCTTTTCGCGCCCCGCTCGGTGCGTTCGCGCGGGGTGTTCCGTGGGGGTGCGAGAGAGACAGCGGTGATCGGAATCGGCCCGCTGGCTCACACCTCACTGGGCCCGGTGCGTCCACACTCCGCGGCGTACACGGCTGGGCGTGAGCGTGAGCGAGCAGCTCGCGCGGAAAAGCCATCTCGCACGGCGCCACGCTCAACGCTCAGGCCACGCTGTGGCTACGCTCGAGCCACGCGGCGCCGGGGCGTGGCGACCGAGAGGTGGCCCCTATCCCACTCCACCCGAAAGGCCTTTCGGGTCGCCGCCGTGGCCGCCGTGGCCGCCGTGGTGGGTGACGCACCCACAAATAAAATAAAAAAATATAACGAACGCAACGAAAGGAAAGGAAAAGTCCACGGACGGCGCGCAGAAACAGCAGAAACTGGAACTCAATTCCGATGCTATTTTTATTCGTGCTAATGGACGCCATTTTTTCTCCGGCCTCTAATCCTGGCGCGCGCGCGCGCGTGTGTGTTTGTGTGTCTGTGTGTGTGTGTGATTGTGTGTGTCTGCGCGCCTCATGCATATTACAGTGCCGGCAACTTGTCGCGACGGACTGGGACGGGCCACGCTCCGCGCTCCTCGGCGCCAGGCGCCCGACGACGCGCCGTGCGGTGCAGAAAGCGTCGCGGTGCGAGACGGCGGCGACGGCGACGGCGGTCGACCCCGCCAGGCCGCCACCGGATCGACGCCGCTCGTTTGTCAAGCCGATCAGTGCTCTGTCTCTCTCGCACCCCTTCGGGGCGGGGCGCCCTTGAGTGGGAGAGAGACAGCGCGACGCGGTGCGCAGTCGCTGTCGTCGCGGTTGGGATCGTGATCCTGCTACTTTGTACTTACAACGCCGTGTGCGACTCGGATGCTCGCTTTGCGGGGAATCGCGCGTGGCGACGTCGGCGTGGGCGTCCACGGCGTGCCCGCCGCCGCGTCGACGCCGAGCTCGCGGCCCGCGGGCTAGGCCAGCACCAGGGCGAGGACGGCGTCGAGCACCAGGACCCGTCTAGACGACGGCCGCGTAGTTATTTGCGGGTGGAGCGTACAGCATGCTGGCTGGGGCAGGGGATGTCAACAGCGGCGTGCGTGCTTGTGAGTGTGTGTGTGCGTGTGGTGCAGGCGGCGGTGTGTGAGATGATTGGGGACTCCTTGGGGTGAGTCAGCACGATCCTCGCTTCGCAGCTCCTCGCTCGCTAGACGATGGCTAGCCGGTGGCGTAGCGCGTTGAGCGTGTGGCCGTGGCGGGGGGCTCGGTGTGCCCGTCGGTGCCTCCACACCCTCTTGGGGGACTCGAGGCGACCGGGCACCGCCACTGACAGGTGTAACGAAAAGCTTGCGTGCGCCCTCTATTCGGCCAGCCTCACCCCCGCCCCGCACCGCCCCGCACCGCCCTGCTCCGCGCGCCCCTCCCGGGGCAGAGGCTGACTGTCCGCAGACACGCATGCACCGAGCTCGTTACCTCGTTACACTGCGTCGGGGTGACCATGTGACCATCCCGCGGAGGTCGCGTGGTACCGCACCACCGGGTCGCAGGAATGAATGACCAAATGCTGCGTCATCGTAAAGAGCGTCGCGGTCAAAAGATGGGCGTGGCCGTCGGCACGGTCCGGAGGACAGAAATGACCCCACGGAAGGAAACCTCCATGAACCCATAGCGGCTGCACCGTAGACGCATGTTGAGCTCTAGAGTCGCTAAACAGGACTCGAACCGAATGTGTGACCCGTCCAATGGATTCCTCGTTCGGAGAGCAATCCATTGGTGGGCTCACACCTTCGGTTCCAGTCCCATTTAGCGACTCTGGAGCTCAAAACACGTCCGGGATTTTGACCGCCTCCTCTGGTCTTCTGGTGGTCATGGCCATGGTCGTGGACGGGGCGGGCGACGCACGGTGACGCATGGTGGCCGACGGTGCCTACACTGGACGGGGATTATCGGCTGGGGGGTCTTCCCTCATAAATATGCGCGGCCGAATCAAGGCAGCGCTTGTTGAATGCGTCCACAATGAGCGAATGTGCGCGCGTGCGAGGGAGGGGAGGGGAGGGGGGAGTCTGCGAAAATGAATGCGGCTGGACGCGCGCGGCGGTGGTGGTGTCCAGAGTCCAGCCAGGGGGACTTCTCCCCCTTCTCATCCCTAATAGACACTGGGGGCTGGCGATAAATCGTATGGACTCAACTAGTTATCGCTGGTGGTAGGGTGGCCCTCGGCAGATACGCGACACACACACACACCAATACGCACACCAATATGCACACAAACACACGTACATATACTTCCCAGCATGGCCGTACTGTCTGTCAACCGAGTTGATTTCTCCCGTTTTGTGATGCACGTGTCCGTGAAACCCAGGTGCGCATGAGTGTGTGTGTGTGAGTGTGTGTGTGAGTGTGTGTGTGTGTGTCGGCACGAGGCACCATTAGCCCCCTTTGACAGATGATAGCCGCCCCCCGCCGGGTCATGTTGGTCGCGCTGGTCGCGCTGCCCAAGGTGTCATCCGTTTTGTGTGCCTGCCTCGGCCTGCCTCGATGCCGCGGGGTGGTCGCGGTGGTCGGCACGTGTGTCAATTTGCCGCCGCTTCATTCATTCATTCATTCGTCCGAAAGCGACGATTTATGCCGAGAGAAAAAGAAACACGTGCGGGTATTTGAACCCGCAACCCGCGCCGGCCGCTTTCGGCCCGGTCCCTCGGTCTGACCGACCACGCGCCGCGCACCCCACTGCTTTTTGTCTTACAGTGATCCTCCTGTCGTTTCCGGTGAGGGAAGGGGAGGGGGAGGCCGACCTATCACGTTACCGAAAACTCCCAGCTGCTTGCCCCGGGCCGCCCCCGGCCTCGGCCTCGGGGAGGTTATGTCCAGTCAACAGTCCGGTGGAATAGGCCCGACACTGAATCCGGGACGGTCCTGGCCTGGGTCCACGTGGGTCCACGGGGTGGGTGGAGTCACCCAAGGGGTGCCGCGTTGGGCAAGCCCGGCAAGCCCGGCATGGCGAGCCTCGGCGAGGCGTTGGGTTGGGGTAGGGGATCGTGTGATACCGGCCAAAATTAGACCGGACTGAATCGATAGTCTCGCACAGCGTCGCACAGCGTCGCAGGCCGACGCACTACACGGCCAAAATCCAAAATGCGTCCTCGGCAATAGCAGTGTAGTGAAGGCGGACCGCCGAATCGCTGGCCAGTCATCACTTTGGTCGCTACGTGCCGCCACCCGTGAGTGCGACAGAGACAGCGACGGCCTGCAGTCGCATCCCTGCTACGCAGAAACACATTATCAGTCCTGCTTTCCGCGAATCGAAGTGATTGGGGCGGGGATCTGGTGGGAGGGGAGGGGAGGGGGAGCCGCGCACCCAGAAGGCCCACAAGGCCCAGAAGCTCGAGCGTAATTGGTGGGGGAAGGGACTGGGCCTGGGGCGATAGGGTCATCATTGCAGTTCACCTGCCATTCGGCATTGCAATTCAAAATCGTGGCCGCATGCCCCAACATCACCCCATCATCATCCTCGCAGTTCCAACTCCCAAACACATTGCAACCGGGCCCAACCTAACCTGACCTAACCTGCTCATTGCGTTTCGAACTAGCCGCCTTCCGTCGCTACTCCACTCCAGCCATAACAAATTCCCGTTCCGCGCAGGAAGTGACGCAATAAACGAGATGCATAGCCGCTGCATCGGCTACACCTCGTTATAAAGATTGCGTTCCGAAAGTTTTACTCGCTGCAGTGTGACCTTTTAATCCGTGCAGTGTGTGCTGGTGCGTTTGCGGCGTGCTGAAAGGCCCGAAAGGTCGCAGTGGTCATAATCACAGAGTGCGTTAGGAGCACCCCTCGCCCGGCCTTGGCTAGCTCCGCCCGCCTTGGCCAGCCCGTCAGCTGTCATATAACCTAACCTAACCTAACCTGACCCAAGACGAACCGAACCCGAGCGAGATGAATTTAAGAAACGAAAGAGAGAATGGCCGTCGGGACAACACAATGCTCCACGTTTCGCAAACTCGAATAATCTGAGGGGCCAGCGGGTCAGGAGGAAACCTGTCATAAATTGGTGAGCCATCGAATCGTTATCGAGTTTCTCGAATGCCGACTAGGAGGAGCTGAACGCGCGCCTCGATTCCCGGGAATCGATAGATCGCGTCACCCGGCCGATAACGTCGTTGCGACGCCGCGCGAATAAGCAAGCAGGCCTGGAGGCAAAGTTATGGGCAGCGGACTTTGGTCTCATCGAGCGTCCAGCCGTCCAGGCGCGCAGTGCCGCGCAGTGCACTGGCCAGTCGGTGCCTCTTGGGCCGGTGTCTGAACTTGTCGTTGGCAATGAGTCAATGATGGCACTGTCCGAAACGAAGGCACTCTAGCATTCATTCATTCATTCATTCATTCATTCATTCATTCATTCATTCATTCATTCATTCATTCATTCATTCATTCATTCATTCATTCATTCATTCATTCATTCATTCATTCATTCATTCATTCATTCATTCATTCATTCATTCATTCATTCATTCATTCCCTGGCCGCGGTGACATGTGCGTCGGGGTCCGCGTCGGCGATTCGATGAGTCACTCATCAGTTCGCCTCACCGGCCTGTCTCTCTCGCACCCTTCACAGGGCGGCCCCGCGAGTGCGAGCGAGACAGAACGACGCGTTGATTTGGGGGAGTCACATCATCATC